GGCAGTGCCTGTCCCATGAGTCCACCTGGAGGCCTGGAGTCCATGACAATGTCCCATGTGATACAAGTCTGTGTCACGGGTCTGTGCTGGGAAGTCCCAAAGGTCAGTGGTGGAAGGCAGAAAGTCTGCACCAGCGGGATGAAGGATCTGTGCCAGAAGCCAAAGGACGGATCAGGGCTCCCTCAAAGTACCACAGGCAACCTCAGCGACAGTAAGGCCCCAAGCTTCTCCAACAATGAGAACAGCCTAATTCATACCAGGAAGCCAGTGTGACGAACTTCTCCATAAGATTGAACAGCACACCATCTTCCCTTCCAGAGCCAGGAAATGATGCTCAGCATAAGGACCAGAGCTCCCCCAAAGTGAATCGCAGCCATCCTCAGTGACAGCAAGGTCCTGAGCTCCTTTGATGATGAGACTAACTGAGTTCTTATCAGGAAAGAAGCTTGACAAGCTCCTCTCGGAGCGCCAGTGACAACAGGAGAGCCAGCAACATCGTGGAGAAACAACACTATCTCTTCCTCTCCAGGTCTCCTTTTTGTCTTGGCAACTGTCCTCAGGTGGGCCATCCACACACGGCACCACGATGATTCAGTCCAGCTGGTGTTACAAGTTGACACCAGTTATCAACCCAGCGCAGATGGTCCTGCTGCTTTTTCTAAACACCTTAATTCTAAAATTCACCTGGTGGGCTTCTCCTTCCTGCTGCCTCCCTGTGTTTGATTTTTTCATTCACCTTCACTCCCATCTGCAAATACCTGCGAATCTCGTGAGCATCTTCCAAGAGCCTCTAACCCGACATGATGCTCCTGGCTCACACTTTTTGAAAAACGGAAATCATATCATGTATCTCTTCTGGACACCATACAATAAAAGTAGAAATCAGGGTCTGGGGATTTAGCTCAGTGGCATAAGGGCCTCCCTTGCAAGCGTGTGGTCTTGAGTTTGATCCCTGGTACCGGTGAAAAAAAGAATAAAAGTAGAAATCAGTAACAAGAAAATCTTTGGGAACTATAGAAACACATGGAAATGAAACACTCTACTCCTAAATAAACACCGAATTGGTAAAGACATTTAGAAGGAAGTTTTTTAAAGTTTCTTAAATAGCAGCAATAATACAATATACCAAAACCTATGGGATGTAGCAAAAGCAGTATTCAGAGGGAAACAGCCATCAGAAGATTGCTTTCCTCATCAAAAGAACAGGAAGGGGCTGGGAATAGAGCCCAGTGACACAGTGCTCGCTTAGGATCCTTGTTACTGGCATCATTGCTGACACACACTACGAACACGCACAAGCTCAAGGAGGAAAGGTTAATTTGCTTCGCAGTTTGTAGAGGTTTCAGTCCATGGTCGCCTGGCTCCAAGGCAGGGCGGGTGGGGTGGAAGGGGATGGTGAAGCAAAGAGCTCATGGCTTGGCAAGAGAAAGCAGAGAAAGAGAAGGATCAATGGAGGAGCCTTTCCAAAACCGAGTCCAAAGTTTCCAAAGGCTTCTGAACCACAAGGGAAGGTAACCACGTCAATGACCCCACTTCTCTGGTACCAGATCTGCCTTAGTCACTTTTCTCATTACGGAGACACGATACCCAGCACTCAACTTCAAGGACAAAGACTGACTTAGGCTCACAGCTTATGGAGGCTTCCATCCACAGCCAGGGAGCTCCAAGGCAGGCAGCGTGGCAGAGGAAGGCTGCTCAGGGGTGGCAGACAAGAAGCAGAAAAAGAAAAAGGAGCAGAGAGGACACAGCCTTTCTGGGCCACAGGCCCGGGTGAACCCCCTCTTCTGCACAGATCCCACCCCGTAAGAGCAAGTCAGCTCTAAGTTCATTAATGGGCTGCTCCATGGATGGGCATCACAGTCCCAGAGCCTCAGCTATAAATGCATGAAGCTTTGGGGGGACATTTAGATATAGAACATAATGCTTGGCATGTGTGAATGCCTGGCTTCCATCTGCAATACTGTGGGGAAAAACAGCCACAAAAGTAAAGCAAGCAACCTGTCACCGCACCTCAAGGATGTGGACAAACAAGAGCAAAGCGGAGTTTATGAGACTGTGAAATATGCAAGGGAGTGGAAAGTTCAGGCAGAGATGCACAAGGTTAGGCTGAAAGGTGGCAGAGACCCGATCACGGAGGGCACGGCGGCTGGTGTCGAGGATGCTCCCCCGTGGTTTAGGGAAGTTTGGAGAAGGAAATGGTTTTAGGCAGCAGCGCGGCCTCACTGCTGGCGAAGGTGAGGGAAAAGGCTTCAGGCAAAGGAAAGGAGGAGAAAGGAAACTCCCTAGGAACCTAGAGCTGGCTTCCCAGAGAGACGCCGCTGGCTTGGAAGAGGACGGAAGAGCTGGCCAGGAAGCCCTGCTGCGAGCCGTAGGCAACGTGGTGAGAATTCAGTTCCTGGAACACAGAAAATGCTGGATACATGGCGGCTCTCGCTTTGGCAGGAGGAGGAAGAGGATGGTTGTGGTTCTCAGCTTCTGCTGGATGCAAACGGCTGCCCGAAACTCCTTTGGGTCACGTGAGTGGAGTTCACCCCTCAGCCACTAAGAGGGCCCACCTAAGAGGGCCAACCCCAGCCTCCTTCCCACCAACCAGGGAAGCACGGGGAGAACCAGGAGGCTGGCGGCCGCTGCTCCCTCCCCGCCACTCTCTGTAGCAAGCTCAGAAACCCAGAAGCGTGCAGCACCGATGCCCACACACAAGCGTGCAACCAGGGCATCAAAAGGTTAGATTTCATTCCACACAGGCCACAGTGGGTCAGATGGACTTTTGGAGGATAAATTTGTTTGCATGAGAAATGCTATGTCACACTGGATGGGCCCTTTGGTATGTGGGTCTCTCCTCCTCCTCCTCCTCCTCTTCCTCCTCCTCCTCCTGCCTCTCTCTCTCTCTCTCTCTCTCTCTCTCTCTCTCTCACACACACACACACACACACACACACACATATCCCTCTCTCCATCTCCACCAGCACCGCAGTAGCCCAGGCCCCAGCATCTATCTCTCCTTTGATGGCCCGTCACCTCCAAATTGACCTCCCTGCCCCTCTCAATTTCCTGTCACCCATTCTCCTTCCAGATCCTTCCAAACCCTTCAGTGACAGCCAAGCACCGAGCAGCCACTGTCCATGGATGAGAGTAACCTGGGCTGGAGACCAGGTCCAGAGTCACCGGAGCCCTCACTACATACTGGCCACGACCACTGGCTCCAAAGGACCGAGTGGAAGAAGCCGTGAAGCAGGAAAGGGGTGTACCTGTGTGGCCACACCAGGAAGGGGCCGGAGGGCTTCGGCCTGACCCTGTCTCGCACAAATTCCTCATCCTAACCTGCACAGCCTGGCCTGAGACCCATCTCTCCACTTATGGGACTCAGTCACCCTTGTTGGGTCCATGGATTATAAACTGAGTCTAGGGGACATCCTCGCTTGTCCTTGTCCTGCCCCTGAGCCAGATTGGAATCTGAAGCTCTCTACTCTTTTCTGGTCACAGCTGGACGCTGTGGGCTAACGGCTGCTGTGGTGCTCACAGGGCAAGATGAGACCTACTGGACACGTCGCGGCCCCTGGAGAAATGACAGCTCCCTCAGCGCCCCCAGCTCATCCTTGTCCTTGTCCTTGCAAGAGTGTTTTGACCTTCCAGCCACCATAGTCACCGTGACTGTTCCCAGAAACACCCACCATCCTTCACCATTTGTCCCTGACTCAGACAATGAGTAAATGCCAAGGTGTGAATGCCTCTTGGTCTTACCTACCTGAAAACAACTGGTCATCACAGGTCCCTGCCCTCTCCCTGACCCCTGCTCTGCCTCAAACAGCTGCCCCCACCTCTCCTGCCATCCTTAACCCCTAGCCTTCCCGCCGCTGCCTCCCCTTTCCAGCTTGGTTCAGAGGCCGCCTCCTTTCTGTCATCCTCCATTAACTGATTAAATTTCATTGCCTTGGAGGAACTTGTGTTTGTGATTACGTGTCTCTGGTTTTTTTTGTTCCTGATTCCCATTAGACTGTTGCATTAGTCACCTTGCCACTGATGGGACAAAATACATGACATACAACTTAGAAGAGGACAGGTTGGCTCAGAGGGTTCAGTCCATGGTCATCTGGTTCCAAGGCAGAAACATCACCATGGGGGACACAAAGGAGGAAAGCAGAGAGCAGGGAAAAATCAGGAAAAAGAGAGAGAGGAGCTCTTTGAAGGCACGCCCCCACACCCACTTCCTTACACTGGGCCCCAGTCCCAGTAGCCTAGTCAGTTATCAGTGCCAACAGATTGATCCGGTGATAGAGTTAGAGCCCTCATGAGCCACCTGCCTCTCTAGGCCCCACCTCTAAGCACTGCTGCATGGAGAATCAGGTCATCGACACTGAGTCTTCAGGGGAATGATCATGTTTAAACCACGACACTGCGTCCTCTGCTAAGACTTCACTGCTTCCCTGCCTCCCCTTGATGTCCACGCAGCTATGGTAGACTGAGCCACAGCTCCCGTCCAGTTCCTGCTGCACAGGGTGCTGGTCAGGATGGACAGTGAATGAGGGACTCATTATGTAGCTCAAGGCATCTAAAAAGTGGTGAAAGCAACAGGGTCTGGAACTCAAGAGACGCAGGTCCCAGCCCCCCCCCCCATTCACTCGCTGTGTCCCCTCCCCACTCTGGGCCTCCGTTGCCCAATCAGGGAGCCAGAACAACTCCATCTGCTGAGCTGTGAAGCAAAGCACTCTGATAGACGGAGTGGCTGCCCGCCCTGGGGACTGACGGTGACCGGGAGCCTACGCTGAAGAGCACTGGCACGGCAGTGGGGACCACCCAGGGCTAAGGAAGAATGACACGAAGACCGCCTTTATCCTGTGGTCACAGCTTCCCTGCTCCAGGGGATTGAAACACTCTGCTTCTTAGAAAATAAAGGTGACACCATAAAGGCCCTTACAGAGAGAAGTGGGAATCTGAGCATCCGTGCCAGTCCCTAAAAGTTATTCAGAAGTGGATTGGTGCATGAAATGCCCAAGTCCTGAGCCACATAAACAAAGGGATTTTAATCGTTTCCGTTTCCAGCACGCACTGCACTCGGGAGAGAAACCCAGAGACAAGTAACCCAAGGCCTGAGAGGTGCATCGGGAGGGGCTGGCGCTGGAGCTGCAGCTCCACTGGCTTCAGAACTGTCCAGTGCATATGCAGTCCTCACCCAAGGCGGGCTGAGCGGGTCCCACATGGCGCAGGACCCCATCCAAGGCCCGGTCCCTGGGCCCTAGGAAGGCACCAACAAAGGGGAAAATGGGTCCTGAAGAGGGACAGTGCCGCTGCCAGCTCCCAGTGGCTTCGTGGTGGAGCCACACTGGAGCCCGAGACTCCGAGGGCTGAGCTGATGCTTCCAGGGCTGATTTTGGAGGCCGCCACTCAGGAGAAACCCTCTTGCCCGCTGAGCAGGGCTGCAAGGTGAGGGTCTACAGCCCCACTCCTGCCCCAACAAATTCGCCTTTTGCTGATGGTGGCCGGGAAAAGTCCCGCCACCTACTTGTCCGAAGGAGTCCAGCAGCTTCTTTCCGAAGAGTGTGAAGATGAACGCAAGGTGCTTCTTGACCTGGACAGGAAAGCAGAACCTGACTCATCTGCAAAGCATCTCTGCTCCATTCCCCTGATCGTGTTGCTCGAGCTGGCAGCATTTCTATCAGGGAGGCAGGCTCTAAGATTAGAAGCAAGCCGAGGAATCTCAATTGCAGGTTACAGAGCACAGCCTGCTACTCGAAAACCAGGAATAGCCCCACAGAGCAGCACCAGACCGCGAATAGAGGGTATTTCACAAACCACACCAAGGGTTTCTGTTGATTCAGGGCAGGAACTGGAAGGGTGGGACCAGCTTTAAACCAAACCTGGCCGAAGTTAGGGTCTGGCAAGCACTGACTGTGACTTCTGGCAGGCTAGTCTTCACCCCTCCGTCTCCACAGCTGCAGAAACGTGCTACCCAGAAAAGTAGCCGGGTCTGGAGAACGTGGAGCTCCTGCCACGGCATGTCAGGAGGAGCAACTAGAGAAAGGAAGGGGAGCCTTTAAGAAAAAGCAACAAAATCACAAAGTCAGAATTGCTCGGGAGACATTCTATGGAGCCCATGGCAGGGGGGCCCTGAGAACTGGGCCCCAGACCCGCCATTCACCAGCAGACTATTTCAGTCAGCCTGGCAGCCCTGGGAGGAGGTGACGAGGCTGAGCCTTAGGGCGGAGTGAAACGCTGTAACTCCGCGGGAAGAGGACATTTGGGTTCGATCCTCTGCATGAGCTGAGATGATAACAGAGAAGCCGCGCTCGGAGGGACCCTAAAGAGCTTCCTTAGCGGCCGAGGTCTGTCCTCAAAGTCACACGTAACTCCCAGCAAGTCACACCCTCTCCGAGCCACGTCCTGCCCTAAATGCCACGGGGCTTGCACAATCTCTGCCTCCTTCCCTTCCCAGAGCCCCGCCTCCCTGCCACGGAGCCTGCCTCTGGGGTGAAGCGGGTTAGGAGAGCTGGCCAAGGCTCCTTCGCTTCCAGCCTCCGGAAGGGGCACCCGGGAGGAAGGAAGGCTTCAGAGCACAACGTGGAGCCCTCACAAGCAGGCTGGGACCCCGAGATGCAGAGAAAGAGGAATCTGAGGCTGTTTTCTTGGAGGTGGAGAGATAGGATATTAGCTTTAAAACCTGACAAGGTGCTCCCTGGGGCCAGCGCGGTCACTTTCTAGTCTGTGAGCTCAGCCAGATGCCTTCACTACAAAGTTGCAGTTGTTTAACTGACAGGATTAATGAGAAAATTCTTGGAGAAAACAGGCAGAAGAGCGCCTCTCCCTTGGCTGTTAAAATCACCAGATGGCGGGTGCTGTTGCCATGCCTGGCATGGGTGACACCAGGAAGGCTCCTGACCCCTTCCCAAGCCCTCCACCCGGCCTCCCCCTCTCCAGAGTCCCTCCTCCGCCAGGGCTTCCCTGGGCTGGAGGAGGAGGCCGGCTCTCGGGAGGGGGTGGGGCCTTATTCCAGCCTGGCCAGGCAGGCTCCGCAGAGGCCAACGAGCTGGGCTTGCACCTTCCCACTGCCCGCTTCCAGCCCAGGCCTCTGTACCACCCCAAGCGCTCCCTTTCTGAAGCAGTCATGTCTGTGACAAAGAAAGCCAGGGCTCGCCAGGAAGCCGCCACCCTCACACTGGACCTCATGCCGTCTCCCCAAAGTACCAAGAAGCTGCAGGACCAGGAGTCCAGTGTCTTGAACAGAAGTGCCTCAGAGCGCTCGGGTCTGGAGGAGACCAAGGGCATAACGTGAGTGCTGTTTTCTGTCTTCCAGCCCAGATGCTTGCACACTGGCCAGAACCTGGAGGAGGCTGGGTCTGCTCCCCCACCCAGTGTGCAGACAGGGAAACCAAGGAGGCAGTCTGAAATGACAGGACCAAGAGGCAGGAGAGGAAACAGAAAAGCCCCCAGGGATATACACGGGGATACCAAGGCCCGATCGCGCCAGGCCATACATGGGCCCTGCAGACGGGAGCCAGGATCTGGAGCTGGCTCTGAAGCCAGCACTTGTCCCGGGCCACTCGTGTTACGGTGCAGGAGGGAGCGGCAGCCCCGGCCTCGTGGAGGAAGCTGGGAAGTTGCCTCACTGACAGCCAAGCGCTGCCCCCTCCAGCAGCGAGCAGGTCCGTCCTTCCACTGAGAATTGCAGTGTGACAGCGACAAGCACAGTGTGTGGGTGACTCCTGTTTCCCCCACTTCCAGAGCGGGTCGCTGGGAGAATATTCGTGAGGTTTTGCATACAAGACAGAGGAGGAAGCCTGGTGACGAGGGCCCCGCTCCCCTCGCTCACACCCGACCCCACTGATAAACCAGTGTAGGTGGTCACCTAGGGAAGAGAGGGCTGGGCGCAAAGGTGGAAAGGCTCTGCCGCTGTAAGAAGAAACTGGACACCACCACTGTAAGCAGGACACTGGACCAGGAGTCAGAAGGCCCGAGTTCAAGGGCGCCTCTCACTGCTCCTCCGCTGTCTCTGTCCCAGGAAGTCAAGGCTGACAGTGATGGCACTAAATACCATTGAGGGGCGCTGGGCAGCAGGGAGGGCCTCCCCTCTCCAGGGCCAACTCACAGGACCATCCCTGGAAGGACGGTGACAGTATTGGCCCGGTCAGTTGCCCAGGGCTGGTCATGGGGTTGCTAAGCACTAGTGATCTTGAGGGCCATCTGTCACCCGGGGCCATCTGCCGCACAGTGAGGGTATTTCTCAATCAGAGGCCTTGGGGGAACCAGCTGGCTCTGGTGTCCTAAACAGACACACGGTTTTAAGAGCAGTTTCAGCGTCTGAAGGATTGAAGGAATCCCAAGCGAGAGCCAGAGGGGGTCTGGGGCTTGGTGGCAGGGTCGTGTGATGCCTGTGGGGTCAGCCCCTGGGTTCGAATCCCCTAGCTGCTTACCAGCTCGAGCAAGTGCCAGAACTCCTTTGTGGCCGTGGGACGATGGTTCAGCCCTCCCAGAGTGGCCACATAGGTGCCTAGAATGTAAAGCCCAAGTGCAGGGAACACACCAGCTTCTCTGGACACAGCCATGGTGAGCTATGGTCACAGGAGGCCTAGGGCTAGAACTCGGGTCTCCTGGCTCCCAATCCAGAGCCTTGCCTGACTCTGTAAGTTGACTGCAGGCCTGGAAGCTAACTTCTGATTTCCTGAATCCTTTTGCTAGAAATTTCCTAAGTGACCCATTCACCTTTTGCCAGTTGCAAAACAAGTCGGTCGCCGGGGGCCACGGGGCGTAGCGCACAGTCAGCAGTGTGGACACCCACAGCAAGCCAGACAGGCGCGCGGAGGCTCCCCACCCCCTTCTTCTTGACCCAACTCTTTAAACCTCAGCAAGTCTCCAGGCGGGGTCTCAGTCAGCTGGAGAACTGAGGGGTTTCATGTAGAGATGGGAGTTTGGGTGGGGGGGGGGTTGTTCCAAATGTCATTACTCCTGACGCTTGCAGAGCTTCGAAGGTGAGCACACTGCCCAAGATAACCAGCTAGTCAAGTAGTGGCTCTGTCTTAACCCCGGGTTAGTCCAGTTCCAAAGAACAGGCTCCTTCCAGAGCCCCGCCTGTTTGTCAGCTGTCTCCCAGCTGGAAGGCGCTTCTGGGTGATTCCCGAGGTTTCTGCAGCTGAGATACAAGCCCAGAGCTCGCCTTGGGCCCAGGTGTAAGAGGTGGTGTAGGAGGAGCCTTGTTTTATCATCCATGGGCAGAGTTTTCCCCTGATGCTACAGAGACCTCATCCTCTGGGCCAGTCTTCACAGCAGTCTTCAAGAGTGGGCGTTTCTGTTTTTGTCTTGGGGTTGGGGACCTGCCAGTCCCCAGCCTTGGTGTCCTGGCTGAGAGGGTAAAACCTTCTGGAGCCCAATCCCAAAGGGCCAATGCCATCTGACCTGTTTCTTCAGAAGTCACGGTGACTTCTAGTTCCAGCCTGCCCCTTTCCCTTTGCCCTATTTCTGCCACTAGTTTATGACCTTGGTCTAGCAGCTGCCTCAACTCTGAGCCTCAGTTTCCTCCGTGATGAAATGGGGCCACCCCTTCACTCTCTGAGTGAGTCTTGGAAGGCAGCTCTGCAGGAGGGGCGTGGAAAACAGTACCTGGAGTGTCCTAGGTTCAAACCCTGGCTCCCAGTTACATCCTCGGACAAATCATCTTTAAAACAAACAAACAAAACCAAAAAACCCTCTGTGCCTTAGTTACCTCAGTAGCAAGACTTCGCAGTCCTGACAAGAGGACTACATGACAATCCTTATGAAGTGCCTGGCACTGTCTCACCCAGCGGGCACTGCAAGGGGGTATCACATGAGATCTGGGAAACTAGAACCATTCTGGGCAAAGCAGGGTGGTCAGTCCCTCACAGGAGACCCAGGTGGGCCTGATAGGGATCCGGGGACCGAGAGATGACCAGCTCACCCCGGGGCCAGAACGCTGCTGGCTGCTGGGTCCTCTTGCTGCCCACTCTACATCCTCACATCACCTCCTCTCCTCAGAGGGTTCCAGACCCTGGTCCACCTGGTGAAAGGCAACATGGGCACAGGCATCCTGGGCCTCCCCCTGGCCGTGAAGAACGCAGGCATCCTGGTAAGAGGCACATCTACAGGTGGCCACCCAGATGGCCATGGGGTAGAGGGGCTCTAACCCCCAGGACAGCCCATAGGGGGCACTCTTTCTGGGAGGCAATGTGGCCCAACTGGCATCGGACTCCCTGCCCACCTGAGCCCTGCCACAGGCTCTCGTGGTCTTGGCAGGTCACCCGGCCACTTTCCAGGCGTCAGTTTCTTCCTCTGTGGAATGAAGAGTCGGGTACACGATGCTCTAGTTACGTTCTGTAGAGCCTAGGACTCTTTGGGGAGCCCAACAGGGGTGACCAAGGGACAGTGGTTGGGACCTGGGGTTCCCCACCCCTGGCTTTGCTTTCTGCACTCTGCTGGAATTCCACCTGGGATTATATGAGATGTGATGCTAATCATGCTCGATGGGAGGTTTTCTGTCTCAGCCGTACCTGTATGAGCGAATCTCGGCTCTTCACCAACCCATTCTCTTCTCTCCGGCCCCCCAGATGGGGCCGCTCAGCCTGCTGGTGATGGGGTTCGTCGCCTGCCACTGCATGCACATCCTGGTCAGGTGTGCCCGCCGCTTCTGCTGCAGGTGAGGAGCGCAGTGCACTTTGCCATGGGGACCCAGGCCCAGGGTCACCCCTGACATACCCTACGCCTGGGGGATGTGCCCTGGGAGGCTGAGGCGGGAGGATCGAAGGTTTGAACCCAGCCTGGGCAACTTAGAGATTTAATGAGACCCAGGCTCAAAAGAAAGAGGGGGTAAAGATACAATTTAGGGTGAAGTCTCTGAGTCCAATCCCCAACATTAAAAAAAAAAAGCTTATTTTTAATTTTCTTCAACAAGGCCAGGAAAAGGAGAAGAACATTCTAGGGCGAACACTGGTCTCAGGCAGGTCTCTGTTACTGGTGGGCTCACCTATAACCCCCTGCATAACCTGCCTCTGAGAAATGCCCCGAGGGTCCAGGGTTCCTGTAGCTCTGGAGAGGACCTTGCAGGGGTTTGACTGCTTCTCTTGCTGTGTAGTAACAGCCTGGTTTGCAGGTAAGGAAAACAGGCACCTGTAACAGCTGCCGGGGTCAGCACTCAGCTGCACCCAGCTGCCCCGCACGCTCCGCTGCATCCTGCCTTCCTCTGGTCCCGGACGCCTCAGTGTGTGCTGTCTCCTGCAGGCTTAACAAGCCCTTCATGGACTACGGGGAGACGGTGATGCACGCGCTGGAAGCCAGCCCCAGCACCTGGCTCCGGAGCCACGCCGCCTGGGGGAGGTACCCTGTTCAGGCCTGGGGCTCTGTCCCCAGAGGGCTGGGGAGGGCACAACCGGGGAAATGCTGCTGCACCCCCCCCAGGGTGGGGGGCAGGATGTCAGACACTCCACGGGGAGGGGCTCGCCATCGCCCCCTTACCCTGTGGACCTCCAGTGAGTGTGCGCTTTCCCCTTGACCACAGGGTCTTTATGTTACTCCCATTTGTTAAACCAGCCTTGTCTGATTGTTCCTGGGAATAGGGTGACAAATGAGGCAAATGACCAGGGCTTTAGGTCACAGGGCCCATTAATAACCACCAGGATAAATGCAGTCAAGGAGAGAAGGCGAGGTCACCACCAACCGGTGCAGGGGTGTGCGGCTGGGGGCTCCCTGGTGGGAAGAGTCAGCGGGCGTTCTGCAGGAAGAAATCCCGCTGGGTGAGGCAGGGCGGTGGGGGCACAAGCAGGGCCTGGGAGGTGCAGGGAGGAAGAAGGGCAGCGGGCTGCAGGGTAGCAGAATGGCATCCAGGTAAGCAGCACTGGGCGCCTGTGGGCAGCAGCAGGAAGGCACAACTAAACACAGAGCCAGGCATCCAACAGGGCCGCACCTCTGGGCACCCTGGCCCGTGCCCAGGATCCAGCCGTTCTCCTTCCAAAGGCTCCCGATTTCCTGGAATGCGACCAGGAAGCCCTTAAGAGGCCGAGTCAGAGAAGTAGCCATGCGTGGACGGCTCAAAGCTCTGTCCAGCTTCAGCAAGGGCAAGGGCAAGGGACTGCGACGGGACGAAGGGGTCCAGACAGACCTGTGGACAATGTCTAGACGGACGGGGCAGGTGCCTGGACCAAGCTGGCAGCCGAGAATGCTGGAGCGGTGACCGTGTGGAGCTGTCCACCCAGTGTCAGGCCGGAGACACAAGCAGAGCCACCGCCCGGAAGCTGGGACAGGAGGGTCCTCTGAGAGGAAGGAGGCCAGTGACCAGAGAAAGCGAGGACCAGGGCGCTGAGCTGAGCTCTGCCCCCTGAGGCTTCCCCTGAGTGCTCAGGGCGACACTGGTGAGGGGACGCCTTCATCCCACAGAACCGTGGTCCTCACGGGTAACACAGCCCAAAGCCCTCACTCTGAGGTGGGTACATTCAGCCTCAAGCAGACCAAGCCGACGAGGGGTGACACCCGAGAGGCGACCTGGCCATCGGCGCCCTTCAGCCCCTGTACTCATCGTCAGGCGAACAAGGAAGCTGGCTCCCCTCCGTTAGGGAACCTGCTCCTCCACTCGGCTCCTCTTCTGCACCTTCCTTGTGGTGGGCTTTTCCTCTCGGTGTTTAAGTATGTCCACGTAACCCCATCTTAAAAACAATTAAGTTAGCCAGGGATAGCTCAGCACTCTAGGAGGCTGTCGGGAAGATTGCCCAACCAGGGCAACTTAGCAAGACCTTGACTCAAAATTATTATTATTATTATGTAATATCACTATTATTATTATTATTATGTAATAATACGGCTACTCCCACAGTGGTTCCTGGGTAAGCAGGCTGGGTCAGCCGGTACTTCAGGCCGAAGTCCCCAGGAGGAGTGGACAGACACCTCATGACTGTGCAGGAGAAGAGCTGGCCTCCTCACCCCTCTGTCCCGATGCTGGCCACACCGCCCTGCATCCTGCCAGGCTCTTGCCTTGGTGCCCCAGAGCCCTGGCTGCAGTTGCCCTGCCCTGAGAGCCTGGGCTGTGGTGGGCGCAGTCCTGCCGGCTTCTCCCCACCCTTTCTGACCTCCCGTGCAGTGGTGCAGGGTCCCGGTTCCTGTTAAACCCTGCCGGCTTCTCCCCGCACAGCTCCTGTCTCCCAGGCACCTCCGGAATCAGCGCCAGCTCAGGGATACAGACACAGCATGCATCAGTCTTCCCGTCCCTTTACCGGCTCTCCCTCCCCAGCCTCCCATTCCTCCTCTTGTCTGGGTTAAGACCCTGTAAATCCCTGGCCTTTGCTCTCCGCTGACTCCCAAAGCAGGTGCTCATCAGACTGTCTACACGTGGACTCGAACTCAGGACCTTGGGCTTGCCAGGCAGGCCTTGTGCTGCTGGACTACATCCCCGGCCCATTCCCAGGCTCTTTTCAAATGTTTTGCTCATCCTACTAGACATCACCTCCATTACGGGAAGAATCTCCCATCCAGCGTCTCTCGCTCCACCAGTGGGCCCCACGCGCATCAGCTGCAGACATCTGTCCACTCCGCCACTGACTGGCTTTTTCCTTTTCCTCCTCCTCTTCTTCCTCTCCTCCCCTCCCCTTTTTCTTTCTCTTCTTCTTCCTCCGTCTTCCTATCTGCTCTCTGTCTCTGTCTCTCTGTCTCTGTCTGTTTCTGTGTATCTCTGTCTCTTTGTCTCTGTCTCTGTCCCTGTCTCTGTCTCTCCCGCAATTTCCTTCCCCTTCCTTAGGGAGTCTCTCAGGCACCGCTTTTTCCAGGAGGGCCCCTGCCTGCCCGTAATGTGCATAAAATACCCTTTCGCTGTGGCCCTGATTCTAGTATCAGTGCTCGCGTCACAGCCAGTGTCGCAGGGCTTCTTAGAATACCGCAGTCGCTCTCCCCACTAGGCTGGGAAGCACTGGCGGGAGGGCCCCGTGCCACGTCTCTGTGTGTCCTCACCGCCTCGCGACACCTGGTAGGAAAGCCTCTGAAGTGCTAAGGACAGCCAAGGAAGCCTGGGCTTCCCGCCTGGGCAGCACTGACCGCGGAGGGAGGGGAGGCGATGCCCGCAGCCTGCAGCAGGGCCCGGCCAGTCGGCAGTCGGTCGGGGGCGGCTCCTGGGCCAGAGAAGAATTTTACCATTCACTGCGCTGGGAGCGGGAGGGAGCTAGAAACCGCTGTCTAAAAGGAGCTATTGTTACTTGGCATCTTACGGCCCCTTTGTTGATGGCGGTGAGAAGAGGACAGTGCCACTACAGGCCACCAAGCGCTGGCGACAGAGGGCAGGGTGGGAAGAAATGGAACCGCGTGTCCGTGCCCCTCATCCCAGCTTCCCCCTCCTCTGCTGCAGGCACATCGTGGGCTTCTTCCTCATCGTCACCCAGCTGGGGTTCTGCAGCGTGTACATAGTGTTTCTGGCTGACAACCTGAAACAGGTAGGCTCTGCCGCTGTGCCCTGCGTCCTCCTCAGCACAGCAGAGCTGGAGACCAGGTACTGGGAGCAACCCGCCCTCCACAGAAGCTTCTGAACGTTTGTGTGTGCGGTTAATTTTGCCACGGTACCCGGGGCCCAGGGTCCTGGGCTTGTCCTCAAGCTTGACCCTGAGCTCCTGGGCTGGACGGACCCTGGGGATGTGTAGACCTCTTGTTTTGGAGCTTAACCCTACCAACACTCCTCAAGTCGATACGGGTTTGGGGTGCACGCGCACGCGTGTGTGTGTGTGTGTGTGTGTGCGCGCGCACAGGCGATGCCCAATCTCCTTTGGGAGTCTTTACCCATCTTAGCTACTTGGCCGGTGGCCTAGTGGTGGTCAGTCCCAGGAAGTCCTTCTGATCTAACCTAGCCATTATCGTGCAGCAACGGGAGCAAAAGAATACAGGCAGCAGCATGGGCCGTCCTTTTTTTATTCTTTTTTTATTAAAAATAAAAGATAGGGAGCTGGGGGTTTAGCTCAGCGGCATAAGCACCTGCCTTGCAAGCAGGCAGTCGTGAGTTCGATCCCTGGTACCGATAAAAAGGAAAAAGACAAAAAGTAAAATAAAATAAAAAATAAAATGAAGTCAAAAATAAAAGATAGGGCTGGGGATTTAGCTCAGTAGCATAAGCACCTGCCTGAGAAGTGTGAAGTCATGAGTTTGATCCTCCGTACCAAAAGAAAAATAAATAAAACATAGAATGAAACAAAAAAACAAATAGAAGAAAGTAACAAAGATCAGAAAACACAATCCCTTACCAAACTGCCAACATCATTTTTCATAAAGGTTAACATTTTGATTCTTATTTTCTGTAAAAATAAAAAACTCAGAATAGTCTAAACAACTTTGATAAAGAAACAAAATTGGGGCTCCAGCCCTCCCCAGTCCCGTGACTTATCACAAAGTTACACCAATCATGGCAAAACAGCACTGATATCAAGATAGGCAAACCGCCAGAGTGCCAGGATAAAGCCCCAAAATCGACACCACTGGACAGACAGTTGATTTGTGGCAAAGATGCAAAAGCAGTCAGGTGGAGAAAGGATCGTACCCTCAATAAATATCCTGGAACAACTCGATGTCCACGTGCAAAAGCCCAAACCTTACAGCACATCAGACATTTCTTGAGGCATCCAAGAGCCAACTCAACATGGCTCACGGTGGGTTGGGGTGAAGGCAGGTGTGGCCTGAGGTGTTGCATAGGGTCCCTAATCAACAGCTTACACAAGGAAAACTGCTCTTTAGAGCTCTTTCTCTGCTTCTGACAGTATCACAAAAATGTAGGAGTGTAACAGAGTTAGAGGGAAGAACGCTAAGGACCCAGAAGTGGCCTGATGAGGCGGGCTGCGAGCGCCACCCGGAGCCCACACGGACTCTGCCCCACCAGGCCCAAGCCATGGGCCACTGACAGGGACCTGACCCGCCAGGACTGTGAGGCAAACAGAGTCGCTCGCCTTGAAAGCCCATCATGTCACACTGGTCATCGTCACAGCACAAAGCCGGCGCGTGACTGTTATCACTTTTAAATGTCACTTTTAATACTTTCATAATCTTTCCATCACACAGGTCAACCATAACAGTCACGCTTCTCCTGCTGGGTATCTCGTGTATTTTTTTCTTTTTCTTTTTGGTATCGGGGACCAAACTCGTGACCTTGCACTTGCCAGGCAAGTGCTCCACCTGAGCTACGCCCGATGCTGTGTTGAGAAATCACCGAGTCACAAGGTGCCGGTCAGAGGCTCCTAAAGTACGTAGCTGGCTGCCTTCCCTGACATCCGCAGGCCTGTGTCCTCACCTATACGCGTGACCGGCTGCATTTATTAACAGCTGTGTGTAATATCAAGGCTGAGGGGCTAAGTGGGATTTGTTCTGGAACCTAAAGACAAAACATCAGGATGCTGTTTTGGTGCCAGATCAGCCCGCCGCCCACAGCACCCTGGGGTCAGGGAGCTGCCTCAGGCCACCCGCACAGCCCAGCGGCACAGTCTCCCTCTGAGGCGCACCAGGTCTGAACTGGGCATGAATGGGCAGCTGGCAGGGAAAGTGCTGGCCACCAGGGCAGGAGAAGGGATGGGTGCAACCTAGAGGCGAGGACGTCTGGGACTCCTGCGGGAGAACCGCAGCTGCTCACAGAAGAGAGGCCGCTGGGGGAAAGGCAGGGCCTCGAGCCAGGTGAGGGCCCCGAGCAGAGGCCCCTGAATGCCCACCGATCGCCCAGGCATTCTTCCCGCTGTCACGAGGTATCACAGGGGCACAAGACGTATGGATTCGTGTTTGTGCATCCACGCTGTCTATGAAGAGGAAGGGAATTTCAGAATAAGTTGGTGCTGGCTGCCATTTGATAAGATAGAGTGTGTGCCATCTGGGTGACTTAGGACACTGCAGAAAACACACAGGTGAACAGACCGCAAGGGACACTCTGTCCGTGTGCGCTGGAAATAACAATGCCTTTGTAGTTCCTTATTGCTTAACTCTAGCTTCTACTCGTTCTGTGGCTTGCACAGTTTTCTATTGCTCGGACCAATTCGGTCACGAGCATTCTACACCTGCACTGGCTCACCAGGGTCTCTGCAGAGAGGCGCTCGCTTGTGCTGGGCACCCACTCCAGGGCAGGGTGTTCTCGGTTCTTTCTTATTATGCCCATGGTGGGCAGGCTGTTATAGTCTCAGTGGGTGGCACTCGAGGATGTGAAGTGTTCTGTAGCGGAAGGCCCTAATCATACAAGGAAGAGTTCTCTCATTTAAAATGCTAGTTTTGGGCCTGGCATGGTGGTACATGCCTGTACCCAAAACCAATACTCAAGAGGCTGAGGCAGGAGGGTGCCACCAGTTCAAGGCCAGCCTCGCCTACATAGCGAGTTCAAGGCCAGCCTGAAATATGTAGCAAGATCCTGTCTCAGAAAACAAAACATGCTAGTTTTGCTCCAATGAAAAGACACTGTTGGTGACGTATGTAACCCAGTGATAGAACACTTGCTTAAAGTCAGTCCCCAGCAACTCAATGCAATTAGCCAATCAATTAATTAGAAAATTAATAAGAAACAGTAAATGGTGGATCTTTTCGTTAATGAGCCTAAGAAACAAATTGTGGGGGAATTCGATCAGAAAATGTGCTTAGTGGAAGGACGTTAGTAGCTCATAAAATGACAGAAAATTGCAAAGCAGTACTCAGAAACAGGCACGGCAGCCGGACCGTACAGCTACCAAGCACTCTCCCCAGGACCCACTGTTAGAGTTAGTTTTTACCCTTTTCCATTTCTGTGCTTTTGTAACTTGACTTGAGATTTATAATCAGACTCTCCTGGCAGAGATTCTAAAGCCCAACTGGAGCCAAACTGCCATCAGCTGTGATTTACAGCCCTGCAGAGCCACACTCAGAGGTGAGAGAATTCACCGCACAGAGATCAGTTCCCAAAGCCCACAAACACCTGCCGTAAACCCAGTCTTTAAATTAATGGTCAGCAGGTGCATTCGGTCACCTCAGGGGTTAAAATAAAAGGTTCTGACCTCAGCCTCACTCTTCAGAGGGAGTTTGGTGACCGGCAATGCACCAGACCCGCTTTCTCTCCTGCAGGTCATAGAAGCGGTTAATGGCACCAGCAACAACTGCAGCAGCAACCAGACGGTGACCCCGATGCCCACCATGGACTCGCGGCTCTACATGCTCACCTTCCTGCCCTTCCTGGCGCTGCTGGTCTTCATCCGGAACCTCCGGGTCCTGACCATCTTCTCCCTGCTGGCCAACCTGAGCATGCTGGTCAGCCTGGTCATCATAGCCCAGTACATCGCCCAGGTCAGTGCACGCCACGCGGTGGATGCCGTCAGGGCAGGGCCGTCGTGTCAGGAGTGGACCGAGGCTTGGGTATGCGGGGCTGCCCTCTTCACCTAGTTCCCATCTCCTCATGAAACTCCTTCCCCGGGATGTGACTGTGCTCTCGCACTCCCCGGAGGTGGGCGCACTCATGATGCTTCTCAAACACCTGCTCTTAGGCTAAACTCTGTCAAAAGTATTGCACTTGCTAAAGGCAGGAGAGAAGTAGCTTCTCGTAACAGAGTCTCATCTCTGGTCTACAATTACCAGGACTCAAAATGACCCCTTGGGAACATGGTGGGGGAAAGACCTAATATTTAGTGACATAAGTGTCAATGGAAACTCAAAGACCATCGACAAATCTATTATGACGTTAACGACGATATCTTTGAGTTATAGATACTAAATTTTCCCTCCATTTCCCCCATCCTTTCTAATTTTTCTTGTATAGTGGAGAATACTGCATATTACAAAGGTATTTAAGACCCCCCAAATCCTTGATATATTCAGTAACATTCAAAACCCACAACACAAAATAAAAGTTACATTGTCCAGGGAATTTAGTAAAAATAATAAATTACTCGACCATTTTAGAAAAAACTGCAGATCAGTCTTAATATATCTTAGGAGTTATTGATGGATTCTACAAAATTGAATTTCCTAAGGAGAGAGCTACTGCTGATTTACCTTTGGACAGGTCCAGAGACTATGCGATCAGCAGAGTGGCTCTGTGATAATGTCACATCCTGAGTCAGACGGCACACGGCATGTTTACTCCACACACGCTCCTGCCCTCTGACTTACTGCCCTTGGAAAAGGGAAAGGGAACTTTCACAGTTCACAGATTACTACAGGATCCCGGGTGTGTCTTCAATCACAAGGACAATGGTTTCCAAGACCTGCGGCCACAGCCTCTTGAAGATGCCCGTGGGCGCTGCCGGTTGGCACCATCCTGTGATGTGCACAGTTCTTTAGGAGGTTCCGGATGCATGGAACTCCCTTCCCCGTGAGAGGCTCATCTTCAGGAGCTGAGCAGGCCTCCAGGTTCAGATAGTCCAGTGTTAAAATCCACGCTGATGGTTGCCTACCTGATTTTGAAGTTTTCTAAATGTCTTGACACTCAGTTCAGAGGAATTCGGGTCTCCTTGCATGGTCCCTCTCTCCGAAAGGAGCTGTCGAGTGCTTTTGGAGTGCTGATGTCACGTGTTTCTCTCTCCTTCAGGGAATTCCAGACCCCAGCCAGTTGCCGCTGGTGGCCAGCTGGAAGACCTACCCGCTCTTCTTCGGAACTGCCATCTTTTCCTTCGAAAGCATCGGCGTGGTAAGCTTCCTGTCGGGCTGATGTGCCTGGCGCTGTGGCAGCAGGGGTGAGCTGGGAGATGCGCGTGGGAGAAAGTCACCCCGGCCACGCTCAGGGCCACTGTCACCAGCAGAAGCAAAGCTGCTTCCAACAGAGAGGCGGTCACAAGGCGGTTTTATTTTTGTCTCAGTCTGTCTGTAATTAAGTATTTATCTTCCTATCAAGCTGAGTTTCCAATCCTAATCTTTTAAAGCTAAGACTAATAGTGGCAAACAATTTAAATATGAAGCTGAAGACTGAAAAGATCTGTATTTCTGCGCGGGTGACATCAGCCTCCGCTTCCGCGTTTGAGCACAGGTACTGCTCTCCGTGTTTTTAATTTTCTTTTGATTTGCATACGAAAAAATTAACGTTAGAGAGTGTGCATTCTTGTGAGCTCTGAAACACAGAGTCACAGATACACGGCAATCAGGACACTGGAAAAATCTTCCGGCCGGAGACCTCCCTGTGACCTCTGGTCACCTGGGACCCGCCCTGACCCACTCCTCCGTCTGTTCTCTGCCGCTGCTGTTTTGTCTTGTCTAGGATGCCATGGGCGCGGGCTCAGACAGCTGGAACCTCGAGGCCTGGTCCTTCTCCCCTTAGCCTAGCACGTGCACTGCACCACGGTGCTCCCGCCTCTGCCCCGCAGGCAGGAGGCCATTTCGGGAGCACCCCTGCTGCAGGCCGTCCGAGTGTGTGTGCGCGCGTGGCGATGATGGACGAGGCTGCTCCAAGCACCTGTGTGCAGGGTTTCACGTGAACATAGGCTTTTATTTCTGAGTTCACAGTCACGTACTGATGGATCTTTAACTTTGTAAGAACTGTCCAGCAGTTTTCAGAAGTTTAATTCCCACCAGGATGCAGGAGCTTGCCAGGTGTTCTGCATCTGGGCTAGTGCTGGCCTTTTGTCTCTCGGTTGGGGTCCTTTGGTTTCATGCTAGGGATGGAACCCAGGGCTCTGCACAGTACACAGCCCTGCAGCCCTGACCTGCGACGACCCCCCCAGCCAGGCCGCGCCTTCTGCGAGGCGGAAGTCCAGGGAGGCTGCTCGTTTCACTGACTTTCTGTTTTCCTCAGACTATTTCCACTGGTTCTTCTTTTCTTCTAGTTTTTATTTTTATTAGTACGTGTTTGCGGAACGTAGTGACTGCATTCCTTGTGGGGAGCTGGTGCACGCACACCACTCATCTTGATGTTTTTATACCCTCTCTTTCTTTGCCCTCCTTCCCTGCACCTCTTGGTCCTTTTCCAATGTGTAAATAATCTCTCTCCTTGTTTCCTATTATGTCTCATTTTTCTCTTGGATTTGTTTATGGCTTGGGCTTGTCACCCAAGAGGAACCATGGCATCTGCAAGCTTGTGAGTCTGATTTATTTCACTTTATGGTCTCGAGATGCATCCACTTTCCCCAGATGACTCGAGTTAGTCTTCTTTATGGCAGCGCAATGCTCCGTTGTGTGTGAGGGCTACATTTTCTCTACCCACTTATCTGCTGACATACAGGTCATTGCCAAGACGTAGCTGTCGTGAGCTGGGCTGCTATAAACACGGGTGTGCGTGTGTCCCTGTAATATGATGTCTTTAACTCTTTCAGAAAGATACCTAGAAGGGCACCAGCTGGGTAGAATGGAACTTCTACTCCTAGTTTTTCAGGACCATCCATACTGATTCCCATAGTCCTTGAACTAGTTTAGGCTCCCACCAGCAACGGAAGAGGGTTCCTTTTCCCCACAGCCTCACCAGCACTTGTTACTGGATTTCTTGATGGGAGGCCTTCTCTCTGGAGTAAGAAGAATCTCACCATGGTGTTAATTTGCATTTCTCTGGTCTTTACTTTTTTTTCAAAGTATTTTGTTGTATTTAGCACACAACACTTGTACCCTCCTTGGTTAAATGTATCCTTGAGTGTTTTATTCTTTTTGGTGCTATGTAAATGGAACTGTCTCTCTGATTTCCTCTTCATATTGTTGCTTACTGGGCTATGGACATACAATTGATTTTGGCTCATTGATTTTGTATCAGGCAACTTTGTCAAACTTGTGTAGTAGCCAACAGGGAGCCTCCCTGCCTCTCTCTCTCTCTCTCTCTCTCTCTCTCTCTCTCTCTCTCTCTCCTTTTGTTTTGGGTACTTTCCTGATCTGATTTTCTGAGCTAGAATTTCCAGTATAATGCTAAAGAAGAGTAACAGGTGCAAACATTTTTGCCTTATTCTGAATTTTAGGGATTCTTTTAGTCTCTCACTGTTAAATGTGATGCTCACCATAGATTTTTTTAAGATAACTTTTTATTGGGTTACACATGTCCCCTCTACTTCTGGTTTGTTAAGTGCTTTATGAAATGGTGTTGAATTTTTTTTTTTTTTTTTTTTTTTTTTTTGGTACCGGGGATCAAACTCACATCCATGTGCTTGCAAGGCAGGTGCTTATGCTGCTGAGCTAAATCCCCAGCCCCTGGTGTTGAATTTTGTCAAATGTTCTTTGTGCATTAATTCAGGAATTTAAATGATCATATGCTTTTTTCTCCTCTTCATTCTGTTAATATATGAATTAAATTCAGATATTTATGAATTTATTAAATTCATATATTGAGCACTCCTGAATAAATCTCACAGGGTCATGGTATGTAATACTTTTAATGTGCTCCTACATTTGGTTTATTAGTGTTTTATTGGGGAATTTTGCTTCCATATTCATAGGAATATTGGTCTGTATTTTTGTTGTTTGCAATATACAATCCTGTCTATTTTATCTTGTTTTAAAGTGTGTTTCTTAGAAACAGCATGTAGTTGGGTCCTGTTATTTAATTCATTAATAGTCTTTATCCTTTTGTTGGTATGGTTAGGCCACTTGTAGTTAATGTAATTATTATGCCTGGATTTAAGTCTGTATTTCGTTGTGTTCTCAGTTCCTTTTTTCTTCGGTTCTCCCTTTTGGTCCTTTTTCTGGGTTTGCGTTTTTTTGGTGCTGGAGACTGAACACAAGGCCTTCACACTGAGCTGTGGCCCAGGCCTTTATTATTATTTTTTTATTTCGAGACAAGATCTCCGTAAATTTCCCAGGCTAACTTCAAACTCGTGCTCCTCCTCCCTAGCCTCCCAGAGGGCTGGGATTACAGAAGTGTGCTACCATGCATGGCTCCTGCACTTTCTAATATCCCACTCTAATCTACCGGCTGACTTTTTAACTATATACCTTTCTAAAAATGCTTTCACAGGTTATTCTAGCAATCCCAACATGCATCTGTAACTTCCCACAACTTACTCTAAGTTGACATTTTGTCGTTGTTAGTAAAAGGCAGAAATCTTACTGCCATGGTTTATATCTAGATGTCCCCCGAAGGCCCCAAAGGTGAGGCTTTGGGGAGGTGACTGGATCCTGAGGGTGTGATAGTCACCCCTGAATCAGTGCGCTGGTGAGTGTGACTGGCTGACTGGCTGCCAGGGGGCAGAGCCAGGTAGGAAGAGGTGGGCCACGGAGGGCACGGCCTGGCAAGGGTTTGCCGCTTCGCCGCCCTCCCTGCACTCGCTGCTTCCCACTGTCACACCGTGAGCCCCGCCTCTGCCATCCCCTCTGCCACGCTGCCCTGCCGTGGAGCCAGCTGACTATGGACTGAAGCACCTACGAACACCTCCTTTAAATTGTTGGTGTCAGATATTTTCCAGGAGCAAAGAGAAATAGATTTAGGTGGAGTTTGATACCAGAGAAGCAGGGTCACTGCTCTGAGGCTTCCTGCCTGTGTGACTTACAGGCCTTTGGACCTGGTTCTTGGGAAGATTTGGAAAGATTCAAAGATGCCAGCTGGAGAAGCAGCCCTAGATTGCTGTGAGCCTAGCTGGATAGGAGATTCTGGTCAGAGCTCAGAAGACCAGAATGGTGACAGGAATTCAAACAGTAAAGGCCAGGTTCGCAAGGCTTCCATTTGGAACAAGAACTCCTTTGGCAGCTGAAGTCCAGGCTGCGTGTGCTGTGCTTGGCAGAAAATTTGTCTACATTTTGCTCCTGTCCTGAGACTTTATGGAAACTGAGATTAAGAGCAGCAGGCTAATCTGGCCAAGGAAATTTCAAGAAATTCAAACTTTCAAGCTGTAGCGTGGACACTGCTTACTGATTTCAGCCAGGTTTATACTGAAAATCAAAAGTAAACAGCACAGCTGAATGTTTACAAAATAGTTTTGAGTTTGGCCAGAAAGGAAGCTCGGGTGAAGTTGGGGAATGCAAAGTGGAGCCAGAAAACAGCTTGGTTGCTAAAAAGACACATGAGAAAGAAGCCAAGTACTTTACAACAGGACAGTCAGGAAAGTGGCTTATGAGCCGTATCAGGAAAGAGCAAGATTCTACACTTTGGCCTGACACAGTGCATTGAGAAGAGAGTCCCAGGACACTTTATTGGAGAAAGGCCACCTGGTGAATTGATTGATTCCCTGGGATTCAGTTCACCTGCCCAGCCATCCTGGCACCTGAAGGCATTGGCAGGGTGGAAAACAGCCTGGCACCTGCTCCAGCTGGCAGTGGGCCTTGGCATCATCCACGTGGTGTTGCTTCTCTGTACACGCAGAGTAAAAGAGTTGTGGGGTCAGGGAGGCTTCCACCTAGATCTCAGGAGGAGGCCTGGGAGGCCACGAGGCACTCCTCAGAGGGCAGCGAGCAAAACTGTGGGAGTAAAGGCAGAAGTGCAGTGACCCCAGAGTGTCGGGGGACCAGGAACAGGGGTCATCTGAGGAAAGCCACAAGGGCTGAGCAAAGTCAGCCCCACAGGGACACGTTTAGTGTCACAAGTGCTGGCAGCTCTAGGGATGGGGTGGAGCCAGTTGGAGCTCATATATTGGCCACACCTTGCTCTGGGCGCTGGACATGGGACTGGGATTTAATGTTTGCCTGGCTGTGTTTCACACTTGCTTTGGTTCTATTCCCATGTCCTGTTTATCCCTTTTGGAGTGGGAATGCTCATCCCATGCCATTGTAGGTTGGCTGTGTTTTTTTATTTTTTACAGGATCTCAAACCAAGGGTTTGCCTTGAGTCTCAGGCTTTGGACTTAGACCCTTTAGCAATGCTAAAACTGTTAGGACTTTGGCAACTCTTAGAGATGGGCTAAATGTGTTGTGTATAAAGGGATGTGCATGGGTCTTCAGGGGCTGGGGATGGAGACACTTACCATCACGTAGGTCCCTGTAGTTTATTCCTTTTATGTTACGTTGCCATGTGTATTATATCTAAATGCAATAAACAGCATCAGAAGCCAGGGACAGTGGCGCACACCCATAATCCTAGCTACTTGGAAGGCAAGAGGATCTAGGGTGTGAGGCCAGCCTAGGCTGCTTAGTGAGACTGTCTAAAATTACTATTATTATTGCTAGATTAAGGAAAGGCAAGACAATTCTGAGCTATCTTCTTACTCCAGTAAGGATGATTGTCAAGAGCACAAAAACAGTAAGTGCTGGCAAGGATCCAGGAGAAAGGGACCTGGTGAGGATGCAAACCAGTGTAGCCATCATGGGGGATCAGTACGGCTGCGTCTCAGGAAGCTGAACACAGAAATTTCATTTGCCATAGCTGACTCTCTCCTGGATGTGGTCCTGAAAAGGCTGCAGTCATCGCATCACAATCCACAGCTGCTAATCTATGGTCGCCTATGGTCGCCTGTCCATGTTCATAGCATCACAGTCATCGCATCACATCCACAGCTGCTAATCTACAGAAACAGCTCAGGGGCCCCATGAACAGACAGACACGTGGACACAGGAAATGTGGCAGATGTACACAGCACATGCCACTCAGCCATAAGGAAGTCACTTGCTGGAAAGTGGGAAGGTTATCCAGACTAATGTTAAGTGACTCTCCACCAGCATTTCTTTCAGAACTGTTAGCAAAAAAAATTTTTTTCTGAAATTTTTTTTATTTGCCTGAAAGATACCATATTCACAATATTGAATTCTAGGAGCTTTTCCATTAGTTTGAAAATAACATTTTTTGTGCCTTTATCCTTCAATTATTTCCCTCCATGTAAAACAGTGTTTCTCTAGTTACTCTCATGATTTTATAAATCACTGATGGGGCTTTTTGTTTTTTGTACCAGGGATTGAACTCACAACCTTGTGCTTGCCAAGCAGGCACTTACACCACTGAGCTAACTCCCCAGCCCTAATCACTGGTTTTAAATAGTTGTGTGTGGAGCAGTTTTGAGTTTGTTCTACTTGATACTCAGTTTGCTGAGTCTGCAAATGTGTGTCTCTTTCCTGATTTTACTTCTTTGCTAAGAACTGATTTTCTTTTTCCATAGTGTTCCCCTTATTTTATGAAGCATGTTTGTAACAAGCACTTTCAAGTCTTTGTCTTTCCAACATTGGAGTCATTTTAGCTTCTATATCGGTCAGTTTTTCTACTGTTAGGACGAAATACTAGATTTCACAGTCTAAGAGTTTCAGTCGTGCTCCTCTGGCTCTGAGGTTGGAAGCATCATGGCAGAAGGTGAGGCAGAGCAGTGTGGCTGGTTCGTGGTAGCTAAGCAGCAGGCAGGGGACACAGCCAGAGAGAGCACCTTCCCAGGGCACAGCCCAGCGGCCCCTGCTGCCCATAAGCGTGAGGGGCTCCTCCATCGTGGGTGCGCAGAGCACCCACATGGCCAGTCTCCTCCCCAGGTGTCTCCAGTCCAGTCCAGTGCATGATCACACCTGACTGCACAGCAGCCACCATCTCTTCCCGAGAGTTAGTTGCTGAGGTTTTCCTGGCTCTTTGTATGTTGAGGGCAAAGTCCCCAGTTCCTCAGCTCAGAGAGAAGAACTTTAGCTCAGATCTTTAGGCACCTGGGTGAATACTAGAATCACTAGTATAAAACCAGGACCCACTGAGGGAGAATGGCCTAGAGAGAACAGAGGAACAGGCGCTGTCCAGGCTCTTTGTCTCTGTCTCTGTCTCTGTCTCTGTCTGTCTCTCTCTCATGGTGGTCTCTATCCCGGGTTCTCCAGCCAATAAAGAGGTTTCTTTGGGGTGTATTTTGTTTTGTTTTATCTGCACTTACCATATAGGTTTAGGGCTGGGGATTCAAGTTTAAACTGGGAGATAGAGAAGAAAAAGAAACTCAGAAAACGCACCAGTATGATGCTCATCCATGTGCAGAAACTGGAAACTTGACCTCTGTTTCCCTGCCGACACCCAAAAACAATCAACTCAAAACGGATCAAGACTTTAAGACCCCAAACTCTGATATTACTAGAAGAAAGTCTAGCAGTAACACTTCTAGAGAGTGGTGCGGGCAGTGGTCTTCTGGATAAGCTCCCCAAAGCACAACAAACAAAAGCAAAAATGGGATTAATTCAAACTAAAAGCTTCTGTACAGCAAGGGAAGCAATGGCACGAAGTGCGTCCTACAGGACAGGAGAGAGTATTTACCAACACCGGACAGAGGCTTAGTGTCCAGGACACTGAGGAGCTCAGGGAGCTTAGGAAAGGAGACCCCGAGTAACCAGGCAAAATGGGTGAACAACCTGGAGACACACTGCTCAGAGGAAACTCCAAATGGCCCACAAATACCCGGACAAGAGCTAGCGTTAGTCTCCAGGGAAACGCAAGTCAAAAGTGCAGTGAGTTATCTCAGCCTGGTTAAACGGCAGTTACCAAAAGAAACAAAAAACTAAGTGTCACTGAGGATGCAGAGCAAGGCAGACCCTGGGCGCTGCTGGGGAGAATGCAAATTCGCATTTGCACTGTCAATGCAATTGTGCAGGGCAACACGCAGATTCCTCCAAAGCTGAAACTCAAACTTCCGCGTGCCCCAACTGCCCCACTTCGTGGTGTGTAGGGAAGAGCGCAAGGTCAGCACGCGAAGGGACACGGTCCGTCCCACGTTTATCACAGCAGAGGCTGAGCGCTGGGCTCAGTCTGCATGCCGTTCAGCGGGTGAATCGACAGACAAATTGGTATTCACAGTGCAGCCTGGAAGGAGGAGGAGATCTTGTCATTCGCAGCAAAATCTGCGGAACCGACAGTCACTGTGTCTGGAGCTGTCTCTTAAGGCGTGGATTAATGCGTGTTAATAAATCATTAAAGACAGTTGCTGTCTGGACGGAGGGCGTCCCCTGCTGGCCGAAATTGGCTCCAGGGCGCTGAGCACCTTCATCTGGTGACCCAGATGCATCTCCCGCCCAGAAGCATCTTGTAATTTTGAGCTTCCCTCTTCTTTTCCTTTCCCTAGCTTCCCCTCTTTCTTTCACCTGTATTTTTTTCATTATTCTCCCCCTCTTTTTCCCTTTATTACTTTTTTTCTTTCATTGTGGCAAAATACACCTAACACCAAATTCTCCATCTTACCCACTCTGATGTGTGAGCTCGGCAGCCAGGGCTCCGTCCATCTCCAGAATGCTTCTCATCTGCAAGACTGAGCTCAGTACTAAGCAGAAAGCCCGGTCCTCAAGGTTCACCCATGCTGTGGTGTGTGTCCAATTTCCCTTCTTCTTTAAGGCTACATAACCTTCTGTTGCACAGATAAACTGCACATTGGTTTTCCGTTTCCTGTGGATGCACGCTGGAGTTGTTTCCGTGTTTTGGCTCCCATGAAAATGCTTGTGTAAATGGGAGTGCACAGTGAGCTCTGTGCGTCCCAGCTCCCGGGTCTTGAGTATATTCCCAGAAGCGGCTCGCCTTTCTCTCATTTATATATTCACGGCTTTGGCGGGTTGTCCGTAAGTCAGTTTTCTTACTTCCTCCCCTTACCCTGTGATATTTCTCTAGGTTCTGCCTCTGGAAAACAAGATGAAGGACGCCCGCCACTTCCCAGCCATCCTGTCGTTGGGGATGTCCATCGTCACCACCCTGTACATCGCCATCGGGGCTCTGGGTTACCTGCGCTTTGGCGATGACATCAAAGCCAGCATAACCCTTAACCTGCCCAACTGCTGGTACCTTTGAGGCTCTCGGGTGTCGGGACTGAGGGGCAGATAAAAACGTGGGATTCTCGCTGGGAACCAAGGTCTAGAGAGCTGGCAGGGGCAGAGCTGTCGTAGAACCTTGGGCCCCCCACTCCTCCCTTGGCTGTGGCCTCCTACACTGAGTTAGGCCGCATCAGCCCTGGGTGGTGGAGGATGTGGTTTGGACCAGAGAACACAAGTGGGAATGGTTGGTCCCTTAGGGAGAGAAGGGGCGGGCACCAGAGGAGGGGACCAGGGAGCAGCCTCGGGGAGCAGGGACACTTCCAACCCTGCTCACTGAGGCTTGTGACTGAATCTGGCTCGGCATGACCCATGGTGCACACATCCCCTTAGCCAGTGTGGCCAGGATAAACAGACGTAAGACAAACACCGACTTGGGGAGACCATTGGATTCTGTAAGCATTTTCTGTCCAGTGTTCCCTGCTCACGGAACAGTTTGATGCCGCCAACTTCAATGGTGCCGTGTTTCAGTAGACACGGACCCACATGACACTGTACAGCATTTTGGCCTGCACAGAGACAGGTCCCTAATTCTAAGATGCCTCTCTTTTTAGCAGACCGTTGTTTGGAGGTGTAATTTACCCAAATGGGGCTCTTTCTCCAAGACGACAAATGTCAGTCAACCAGCCACTGCCTACAGATGCCAGTCTAGGGTGTGGCCCTTGATCATGGAGTTTCGTGTCTTCACTAGCAGCAGGGTAGAGGCAGAGAGGTAACAGTAAATACACACAAACTTTACTGTATCCTCCAGAATAGCAGGTCTGGAGTAGTTTGGTTTTGGTTTTTTTTGGTTGTTTTTGAGACAAAGTCTCCCTATGGAGTTCAGGTTGGCCTTGAACTCACTCTGTAGCTCAGGCTGGCCTCAAGCTCACAGAGATCCTCCTGCCCCAGCCTCCCGAGTGCTGGGATTCTAGGAGTGCACCCCCACATCCGGCTAGGCCTTGGAGGTTTCTGAGGAAAGAGAGCACATCAGAGGGAGACAGCAGGCCGGGCACGGTGGTCCATGCCTGTAATTCCAGCTCTTCAGGATGCTAAAACAAAAAGATCAAAAGTTCAAGGCCAGGCTGAGCAACTTAGCAAGACTTTGTCTCAAAATGAAGAGGGGCAGGGCTGGAGCTCAGCGGTAGAGCGCGACCTGGATTCACTCTCCAGGACTGCCTCAGCAGGAAGGAAGGAAAGGGCCAGGCAGTGCAGTTCACTCAGTACCCAGGTCCCAGGCCCAGTTCCACGCCGACCCGCTCACACTCCAGGCTAACTCACTCTGCTGCTCAGCTGCGGAGCAGAGCTATCCTGAGGGTTGTGTTGGGCCATGACTGTGAGCATCTGCGCCGTGGTCCTGCTCAGAGGGGGAGATACAGAGTGTCAGTAGCGCTTGGATTGGTGGAAGAGGAGCGAGGCGTGCTCCAGGGAGCAGGACGGGTGTAAGCAAGAAACAGACAACGGAAGCTTTCCTTTTTACAGAGTGGCACACGCACACATACACACATGCACACACACACACACATGCACACACGCATGCACATGCACACACATGCACGCACATGGACACACACATGCGTGCACACGCACATGCACGCACACACACACACACACATGCACGCTTCCCAAACATGGCAGAGCGCTCTACTACATTAGTGGGCTAAAGGTCATAAAAGCCTGAGAGAACTTAACGCTTCCTGAAGCTCACACCCTCCTCCTCTGCCTGCTGCAACCTCGGCTCCTTAACCCACCCCTCAGCCCCCGCCTCCGCACAACCCCATTTGCAGGTCTCTCTTCCCCCAGGACTTGGGCTCTCAGCTCTCACCCTGCAGAAGCTCTCTCAGAGAGCCGGGTGTGCACCGAGCACTTTAGGGATCCAGAGAATTTCCAAGGACTGGCAGAGTCCAGAAAGGACCAGAGCCAGAGTTTTCATCTGCTGCGTCTCCCTGAGCCTCCCCCCTAAACCCGACATTGAGCCCCCAGGGAGGGCGGAGGTGAAGGCTCCGCATGCCTGCCCGTCTCTTGTTCTTCGTAAGAAGTGACCCCTAGCGCCTGTTTGCACTGAACCCACCGTGCTCCCCCCTGCTTTCACCGTGCTCCCCGCCGTGACTCCCCCTGGCATGTGGAAGGTCCGTCTCCGTCGGTTTTAGACAGGGGACAGAGCCCGGGGTTACCCCGCGGGCAGCCCTGGAGAGCACAGCCCGGGCTCCTTCCGCAGGCTGTACCAGTCCGTGAAGCTGCTGTACATCCTCGGCATCCTGTGCACCTACGCCCTGCAGTTCTACGTCCCAGCCGAGATCATCATCCCCTTCGCCATCTCTCAGGTGTCCGAGCGCTGGGCACTGCCCGTGGACCTGTCCACCCGCCTCGCCATGGTCTGCCTGACCTGTGAGTAGAAAGCACAAGGTTTCCGTGGGTCTTTTCTTCGGGGCTCTCAGGAATCGGCCAGATTGGTGACAGCCAGCATTTATTAAGCACTTACTGGGGTCCAAGGACTGCTCTTTAGCTATAGCTTTGCCAGTGTTGGCTCACCAGGGTGACCCTACTCCTCGATGGACTCTATGACACAGATTTCTTCATGCCCAGTCACAGGACACAGTTTATCAAATAATTAAATGTACCAGGCACAGTGCTAGGCTCTTCCTAGTTTATATTTCATAATATTTTATTCAGTCCCCACAAAAACTCTTAAACAGTAGAACTATGCTAAACCTTACTTCAGAAAAGGGGAAACTAAGACAGGGAGCGATGCATAGTTGGCCAGTTAAGTCTTAGAAGCAGAATTTGAACCCAGGTCATCTAACTGGAGTCAGTGCCCTTCACCTCCTCAGCAGGCCTGGAGAATGGGTAACCTGGAAGCTAATCTGCCACAGGTGGTGTCTGACGCTCACAAAGTTGTATGAATGTGGGCCACCATTCAAAATACACGCATCCCTGACATAAAGGTTATTTGAAGCTGCAAACATTTGAACAAACAGAGCTGCAGGAGAAAGCTTTAGCTGAACTTCAGAGTGGGGGGCCAGGGGCGTCCTGGAAAACGCAGCCTCCAGAATCCCCTCCTGGGAGGCTGAGGCCCAGGCCAGGGCTGACCGTGTCACTGCAGAGCCAGCTGCCAGCTGCCACAAGTTTCCGGATCGGTCTGCCCTCCCGCTCGCCTGACCAGGCAGCTGGGCAAACAGGCGTCTTGGGCAGATCAGGAAACCCAGCCATCTAAGAGCTCAGAAATAAACTGGTTTCTTCTCTTGCTAATATTGCTATTGTTAGTTCAACTGGGAGACCCCAGCCCAGGCGTGGAGCCTCAGCTGGTAGAGCAGGGTTTCCTCCCCAACAGTGTGACTGTTTTTATGTGAAGGGTTGGGAGGAGACGTGCCCAGGTGTGGGCAGCGGAGCGCTCTGGCTTCTCCTGTCTGTACCCCATTCTCTGAGGAACAGTGCACCGTGGCAGCTCGGCTGAGCCCGGGGCTCTCGTCTGCTTCCTGTCATTTCCGCCAGGCGTCCTGGCCGTGCTCATCCCGCGCCTGGACCTGGTCCTCTCCCTGGTGGGCTCCATGAGCAGCAGCGCCCTGGCCCTCATCATCCCGCCGCTCCTAGAGGTCACCACCTACTCCTCCCGGGGCCTCGGCCCGCTCACCCTCGCCAAGGACGCCATCATTAGCGTGCTGGGCTTCGTGGGCTTCGTGGTGGGGACCTACCAGGCCCTGGACGAGCTGATTGAGTCGGGGGTCTCTCTCCCCGCTTCTAACTCCACCCTTTTTGTTCAGTGAGAATGGACGCCCCTCGGCCACCCACCCCTGACCCGCCATGGCATGGGTCTTGTCTACACGCGCTGTCTTTATGCAGCTGATTTGCCTTTTCTCTGGGCACAGTAAAACAAGCAAAGACTCGCCAGCTACAAGGTCTAAATGATAATTTTTTAAAATTTTGTTGTTGTCTGTTCCTTTTTCTTGCCATCTCTCACTTTCCATTACATGGAGAACTCTCCCATGGAAGGTTCTGGATCCTCCCCGCTGTTTTTTTGGTAATTGATGGAGTACGTGTCACACCGTGGGCGGCCTATACAAGGAGAAGCCACCAGGGGTTCCAAAGGGCAGCAGCAGGCAGAACGAGGTGGGCTGGTGAGGGGGCACCACGCTCTGCAAGATAGCAGCTTCCCTATTCCTGATCGGCAGGAGGCCCTAACCCACAACTTAGCAAGTTATGCAAACTCCAACATCTAGCTCACTGGGGACACGAGGACCCCCTGAGCCACAGCTGTCAGGCAGGAAGGAGCCTCCATGCTAAAGTTAAGGGCAATGAAGTTTCCAAGGCCCCGGGCAGTCTCCAGAAGCCGAAGAGCCTGGGCAGGAAGCAGCAGGCACAGACACTGTGTATCAGCCTCTGTCTCCTACTCCCGCCTAGCCACGGTGTGCCTGGCACACTGCGGGGTCCTCATGGTGGGTTGCAAAGCGGCCCATAGATTCCTCTTGACAATGTGACCACCCTGTTCCCCCTATTTCTGCCTTCAGTCTGCTCCTCACCTTGTAACTTGCTCTGGCCCAGTGACAACAGTAAACACAAAGGCAGCCTCCCGCCAGCCGCCAGGCACCTGAGTGACGTGTCCTAGGCTGTCACCAGCCCCAGTCCACCCCAGCCTAGCCATGCAAAGTGTGCAGAAGGGGGCTGGGGTGAAGCCAGATGGCACAGGGTATGCTCAGTGTGTTCAATGCCCGGCACCAAAAGAGGGGCAGAGAAACCCCTAGTTATGGGGAATAATAAAAGCTTGTGGTTTTAGTTCATAAGATGTAAGTATTCCATGCAACAAAACTCACTGCCATGCAGCTTTGCTAATGGGCTGCATGGATGAATGAGAACGGAAACTCATGAGCAGCCTCCTGCACCCCAGCCCTGACTCTGCTCCTCGGTTCTCCTGTCGACCTTGGCCTGGGTCGGGCGGGGCCAGGTGACCTAAGACACCACCTCAGCCTTGTGGCTGCTCTCGGCGCCCCTCCCCCCCATTCTACACCCAGGGAACTCGCCCAGGGACCAAGCAGAAGACAGCAGATCTACAGCCCAGGGGCTGGGGCCCGACGCTCTGGGAGGCTCAGGGATCCGTGCTCTGTCAGCCTACGACACCCAGAAGGCGGCCACCCAGCCCCGTCACCTGCAGCAACACCGTGGGGAGGCCGGGTGTTAGTAGCCCACGCGGGTGTCCGCGCCCACTTTGGCTGAGAGAAGGCCACTGTGACTCACAGAGGGAGGAGGTCTCAGTCCCCGGCCGGTGGCCCCAGGGCAGGGGACACACACAGCTGCTCCCTCAAACCACCCGGCAGTGCCAGCTCTGTGAAAGCTTAGCCAGGGGAACACAGACTTCCCCACACGCAGCGCTGCCCACGACAGTCTCTAGGAAGTGTGTTTGTAGTCACTCGGGCCTGCAAAGGCCCCAAGTGTGCACACAGGGGATGAGCAGGTGCCATGGGGGGCACCCGGACTACAGGACAGGACTGGGTTGGGGGGTCTGCTGGCACCCCACCTGGCATGCTTGCGTGTTCACAGGCATCCCCAAGAAGCCCGCTGCAGGGGTGGCTCTGGGACTGGGCACTGTGGGCCATAGGGAAGGAAAAGAACCTTCCAGAAGTGTTCCGCAGCCTGTGCTGAGGGTCCTGCGATGGTGGGCACTGCCAGAGCTTCTGAGTCACTTCCCCTGCAGGGAAGCTGCTTCCCAACTGATCTGCTTTATGAGTGAAACACTGGGACCCTCCTCCACACCCCACCTGGGTCCCAGATCAACCAGCAGAGGAGGCCCCCAGACAGGCCTCGGCGGATGCTTGTCCAGGGATCGGGGTGCTCCCCTGCTCCTCTCTTTCTATCACACCTTACCTCAGCCCTTCAGGCTCTGTCCCCCACTCCTTGTTTGAGACAATGTCTGGCTTTGTAGCGCAGGTTGGTCTGGAACTCAGCACTCCGCCTGCCTCAGCCTCCCGAGTGCCGCAATGACGGGAGCGCTCCGCCACGCCCAGCATGGCTTCCCATTTTACAAGTCCGGACTTCAGCCGCTTCTGTCTGTCCCTGTCATCCTGCTGTCTGTCCCCCAGAGTGCTGCAGGGGCTCCGAGGGTGAGTAGCAGCCTCCTAATCAACCTCGCTCTCACCCTCACCCCGCCATCTGATCCCAGTGAAGCGGCCCAGGGAGCCGTCACACGGCGAGCCGTCACCTCTCTTCTGGTCCCCCTCCACGACTCCCGGTGCCCAGCAGTAAAACCCAGAGCGCTGTAATCACAGGCGGCCCCCAGGCCCCTGCCGCCTGCCCTGCCCTCGCCCATCACCCCACTGACCCATCTCCCCGAGGGATCATGCCAGGTGATCCCTGCCCAGCCCAGGTACGCACTCCCTCTGCCCCTTGTACCCGTGGGGGTGCCACACCCAAAACAGCCCAAGGTGCCCGCCCGGGACGCTGGTACAGACTGACTGCTGGAAGCGCCCAGCCCAGGCACCCACGGGGCGCACTGCCCTCTTCGCAAACACCACTGCCCGGCGAGGTCCTCCAGCCACCTGTGTTCGTCCACTTTCCATCACTGTGACAAAACACCAGGGGCCCGGACTCCAGAGGAGAGGGTTTTTGACTCAGGGCTTCTGAGGTTCCTGTCCACAGTCACCTGGCCGTGCATCTGAGCGGGGAGCACGGTGCAGAGCAGAGCCAAAGCCACTCACTGCAACACGGAGGGGTCACCCCAAAATCCTCTCCAGGGGCCCCTGGGCCTCACTGCCTCCCAGCAGGCTCTAGGCTCTGGAAGGGCCCATCACCCCCCAAAAGGGCCATAACGGGGAGACTAAGTCTTAAACATGTGGGGGATGCTTAGGATCCCAACGAGGACACCTTCCCGTTTAAACCTGAAAGCCTCCCCGGCCAGCACTCCCGCCCACCAGCACTCCTTACTGACTGACGCGTCCTCGTGCTTTTCTTTTCTCTTTCTTTCTTTTTTCTGTCCCAGGATCTCTCCTGTGTTGCCCAGGTTGGTCTCAAACTTCTGGGCTCAAGAGACTCTCCTGTCTCAGCCTTCCCCAGAGGCTAGGACTACAAGTGTACACCACAGGCCCAGGTTTAACATACTCTTGACAAATTCTTTGTTTTCTGTCTTCCTAGATCCCACCAGACTGTAAACTTGACCTGAATAAATGTAGACCTTCTACCCTAATATATTCCCAGCATAGACCCTAAAATATATTACATGCTCAATAAATATTTTTGGAAGAAATGATTTTTCTAAAGGAAGAAATGTTTATTTAGCTCACAGTTTGTGCAGGCTTCAGTCCATACTCAGCTGGCTCCAAGGCGGGGTGGCACACAGCAGAGGGTAATGGTTCATGGCCACGGAAGACAGCAAAAGCAGCACGAGAGGGGGGATGAGCCTCTTTCTGTCAGACGAATGCCTGGAATTGTCCTCCCTACACTGCTCCTGTGCAGAAGCTCTGCCCAGGTGGCATCTGAGCAGGACGTTACGGGCCGCTGTTCACCCCCTCGCTATGTGGGTGTGCTATGTGTAGCGAGGTGGCCCTGGATGACTGACTGCAGCAGGTGCCCCGGGCCCCAGGGTTCTGAGCGGCTCATTGGCTGGGCAGCCTCCATTGTGAGGTCGCTCCAGCTCCTCCTTGCCAGAGCCTGCTTGGCACCGGGACCTCCGGTCCAATGCGCCCTTCTCCCTCCCAGTGGCACTGTGTGCTGTACCCCACGGCGGCCAGGGTACACGGGGAGAAGCCGAGAGCGTGGGAGTGCTGGCCGTGTCTGAACCACCGAGGGGCCCGTGGAGTCCGAAGAAGGGACCGTCCTCAGACCCCGGGACACCCCGCCTCCGCCGCCCCTCTCCCCAGCTCGCAGGCTGTGGGGCTCGGCCAGGGCCAGGCACCTGTGGGAACCCCAGCCCTGCAGCACGGCTGGCCCGGAGGAACCCCACCACCACTCGTCCCCGGCTGTCACAGCGCAGAGCCCCAGCCTCCGCGTCCACCACCATGTCAAAGACAGCGCTGCTGGGGCAGGACCCCGGCAGCCCGCCCAGCCTGAACAGCAGACCCCTGCCCACCCTGGAGCAAGGCTACCCACTTGCCGGAGAGACCAGCGCACTATCGTAAGTAGACATCTGCCGGGGCTGGAGGTTTAGCTCAGCGACATAAGCACCTGCCTTGCAAGCAGGCAATCGTGAGTTCGATCCCCGGTACCGATAAAAAGGAAAAAGATTAAAAAAAAAAAAAAAAGTAGACACCTGCCCCTGGGGACCCAGGAGACTGCAGCCACGCCTCCCTTCTCAGTGCACCCGTGAGACCCTGGAGACCCAAGAGGGTGGCCCTCAGGGTTCTGCGGTGACCTTGTGGCCCCACACACACTGCAGGATTCCAGGGGCCGTGTCCTGTCTCAGGCAGAGGGCCTCACCCTGTTGCCTTTTAGGCTCTCGCTCTCTGTCTCCCTCTCTCTCTGTCTCTCTGTCTCCCCCTCTCCCTCTCTCTGTCTGTGTCTCTCTGTTTCTGTCTCTGTCTCCCCCACCACACCCTTCTTTCCCCTCCTGCAGGAACCAGATGGACTCACCTTCTAAGTCCATGTCCTGACTTTCACTGCCCCACACTGGAACTTGGTCACTAGGGCTTTATTGCAGGCAGGACTGCTCTCTAGTGGCCAGGCTGGGTCAGTGAGAGCTGCGCGGGCAGTGCCCAGCATGGGGGGTGCCTGCCTGGTGGGAAGAGTCCAGTCTGTACTCTCTGACTGTCCCTTGTCAAGCAAACCTGAAACGCCACTTGTATAAAGCACACAGCCACGTGTTTGACACGTGTTTGACACATCTCGGAAGGTACATGCGTGTGTCACACATCCGTACAAATGTCACTGAAAGTACCAGCCACCTGTGGGGAAGGAAGTCGGAGGCTGAGAGCAGAGATGAGAGATTTCTGTTATTACGAGAGGTTTTCATTGTGCTTTGCTGCAAGTTTTGAATTTCTCACTGAGTCACTACCTTGTTCTGTTTCTAAGTATAACTAAGGAGAAATAAATGCATCCTTTTACCAATTACAGCATTTCTAGGAATTTTTTCTACCGAGATCATAGCACAGGTATTTGTGACCACAATATGTTTACTGAAGCAATAGTGACAATATTGAAAATGTGTCAGGGATAAGATATTTAAGCTGGGTGTGGTGGCACACACCTGTAAACCCAGTCCTCGGGAGGCAGAGGCAGGAGGATTGCAAATTCAGGTCCATCCTGAGTTATATATCAAGACCTTGTCAAAAAGAATGGTTAAAATATGACATAAACATACTGCAGGAAACAACACTGCAGATAACTCTACAGATGTGGAAACGTGTGGCATGTTTCATTCGTAGAGAAAATTAGCTGAGGATTCATTTGTACAGTGGCCTTTGTTAGAATTCTGAGCATCAGGACCAAACAGTGACACCCCAAGGAAGCTGTCATCGTGTGCTTATTTTCAATCAGTGGGATTTTGGAATTTCTGATTATAATGGCAGAGAATTATTTTTCAAGGAAAAACACAAAGCTCTCTTTCTAACGTCCGGGCATCTCCCCACCTGTGCTCAGTCCCGAGAGTCCCCATGTGCAGGGCCCTTTACTAGGGGGTGCAGCGGCTTCTGCACACCTCACCTGTCCGGGGGGGGGGGGGGCCCTGACAGGAAGGCAGTGCCGAGAGGGAAGGCAGGTGGGGAGAGGGCCCTCCAGAATTAACCAAAGGAGGAAAGGATCGCATTGTTTCTTTGCTATATCTTGCAACAGTCACAGCTATCAAGGAATAAGTTACTTTTGGGGGGCAGGGATATCGGGCGACCCCATTTTGGGGTAAACAGAGCCAGCCGGGACCAGTGACCGCAGAAGGGAAGGGACATCTTGGGGTGCATCAGTGGCCACCAGTCCCCCAAAGTGCAGGACACCGCCCTAGGTCCTGAGCCCCGTGTGCCAGGCCCCCTGCCAGCTTCTCTCCCCTGTTCCATGGCTTCTAGACCTGTGGTGTCGGTGGCTCAGCCTGAGAGGTCAGACCTCCGCGCCTCCTCCTCCTGAGGGCCCCCCGCATCCAGGCGAGGGGCGCCCCTCCCAGCCCACCCAGCCCTGGCTGCCTGCTCCTGGTGGCCTGGCCAAGGTGTGACGCTGGTGGTGACCATGAAGACCACGGCCACCCGCAGCTGGGCAGCTCTCTGTGATTCTGTGACTCTCTTGGTTCTTGCACATCCTGGGGGCACAGGCAGGGCCGGAATTATCACCAGCGCCCTTGCCAAATTAGGAGGCCGAGGGGGTGAGCCGCCGGTGGGTCCCCCAAGGCGAAACTAAAGAGGCGGCTCACGGGCAGAGCCAGCCCTCGCAGTCGGGCTTTTGCACTCTTTCCTTTCAGTTCCCTCCGTGACTCCGCGTGCTCCATCCCGCTCCCCGCCCCCCACAACCCATGTCAGCACCGCTGTGAAGGACACAGGACTGGGTACCCAGCACCCATGGGGCACACAGCAACTCCTCTACGTGCACAGCGGCAGGTGCTGTTAAATCTTCATCTGTATGCCCTGCATGGCGGGCTCCACTGCGGAACAGCCCTGGGCTGCACGTGGACAGAGACCTGTCTCAGTTCGTGTCCACGGGGATTAGTTGAGCCAGCGGTTAGGAAGTGGACAGAACCCTAAACAGCCACACAGGCCCACGGTGCTTTTTGCTAGTGGGCGAGCTACAACTGACCCGGTGCCAAGGACTGTCCTGGAGATCATGCACAGTGCTCTTGTCCCAGTCTGTCTGAGTGTCAGGGACGCAGCAGACTCAGTGGACAACACCTGAGAGGGTAAAGCACGGGAGGGTGATCAGGAGAATCCAGGGAGGTCGGCGTTTTTCTCTGCATTTTCTTTAGCGCCGGGGTGTGTTCAGTCATGACTGCGCCTCAGGAGCGAGCCCCAGGCCTGGGTGCGATGCCCAGGGCGGACCTGGAGGCCTGAGGGTGTCACCTCCAGCACCACCCCAACAGGCTCCTCTCCTCTCCCCAGGCCAACGCAGGCCCTGATCCATCTGCTGAAATGCAGCATCGGCACCGGGCTCCTGGGGCTCCCCCTGGCCGTCAAGAACGCCGGCTTGTTGGTGAGGAGCAACTACGGGCTGGGGCCTAGGGTGCCCCCGGGGTGGGGAGGGTGACCCCCAACTAAGGCATTCACAGGCACAAGACAAGGGCTTGGCTGTGAGTTTCAGGGCCCCCAGGTGCCCACCCTGCCCTGCACCCAGCAGCCAGCTCGACTGCGCCCTTGCCTGGCCTGGTCCTGGCCTCCACCTTCTGGACTTTGTCTCCCTGTCACCTGCGCTGCCCTCACCTCGAATCTCTCTACCCCTTACATTCGCCTCGCCCAAAACTCTCAGGCGGGCTGTGCTTCTGCATGCAGCCGACCTTTCCTCCGAGCTTGACCGAAGGCTGTGAGGCTGGAGAGGCCTGGCTTCTCCTCCCACCTCGCCTGGCACCAGGAAGCCCTGTAACCTCTTCTGCTTTGTACTGATACCACTACGCACGTCCCCTCCACGGCATGGAGCTTCCCCTCCCCAGGCTGCTAAGGGGCTCCAGTGTCTAAGGAGGACACGGCGAGACCCTCACTGCCTCTATCCAGCCTACAGTGGACTGCAGCTGAGACTCGGCATTTGGAGTCCTCTGGGCTCCAAATGGCCTGCAGGAGGGGTGTGTGGCCAGCCTGTCCTGTGGGGGTGTGGACGTTTTAAGATGGCTCCTTAGACTTCAGATGCTCCTCCTAAAAGCTGTTGGGTGATTTCTTATCGCCCCCCAACACACCATGCTCCCCCAGAACCCTTGACCGGGATCCAGAGGAGAGAGATTTGCTGTGTATCCTTAGATCCCGGGAGCGTAGGAACCAACAGGACAGGAGAGACTGCCCGCAGAGGCCCCTCCCGTGAGGCCCAGTGGTGTGAGCTCGTGGTCCCCTCACTGGTTCCTGGCGGCAGACGGTGTTGTCTCGGGGCAGGAGCGTCCAAGGCAAAGCAGAGGGAGGGCCTCTTCTGTCCTTGCAAATCTCACTGGGAGATTACTTATAACCAGCCACACTGTTGTGAAGGATTATTGATCAGCCAGGCACAGACAGCAGTGACCTTCCACTGAGATCATTGTGTGCACACACACAGACACACTGTGCAATGACTATAGAGATTCATGATTCTCACAGTCCATGGGGGAGGGTCAAGGACAGCTGGTGGACAACAGCCCGAGGACCCTGCTCAGCACCCCACAATGCATCACACAGCTCCTCGCAGCAGAATCTCAGGTGTGTCGCAGGGTCAGCAGGCCCCATGCAAAGCACGCAGTGCAGGAAAAGGGGCCTGGGTCCTCCAGTGTCTGAGAGGAGGTGAGAACTAGGGACTGAGGAAAACTGTACCCCAACTTACTGGCTGTCAGAAGTGCTGAGCTACGTCCCCAGTTATGGAGGAACGAGGTTCTAAAGAGGCAGCAGGGGCTCCCGTGGCAGGAACGTACACAGCAAGGTCACAGCGCGGGGACAGCACAGGTCAGGTCACGGCCTGCGGGATGGCAGGTGCATGTAGCTGCCCAGCTCATGCTGACCCACAGGAGAAGCAGTGGCACAGCAGGTGCGGGGGAGGATCAAGGGACTCTTGGGAAGGCAGGGCAGGAGCAGCCTTCCGCCCCCCTCGCTGGGCCCTGGGGCCAAGGTGCTGCTGATCACAGCAAACCCTAACCGGCTGCTTCTCTCCCGGGAGGCCTGCAAGCCTGGCTGGTGCTTCTCCCTGCGGCCAGGCCCTCTTGAGCTGCACCTCGGACCACAGTCCCAGTGTCTGTATTTTTCTGTGCTGCCTTCCTTGACTGCCCAGTCCCTGTCTGAATGCACATTAATGTCTGTCTAAGTTGGCCGTCTTTACTACTATCCAAGGGATTATAAAGGCATGCGAGTTGCCATGCAGGACGCTAGCAGGCTGGACAGGAGGCAGATGAGAACAGATGCAGCCATGGGGAGTGGTGCCCTCTTGGTCCCTGGAGGAACCCAGCTGGAAGGGAAGCTCCTCAGGGCTCCTAGGATGGCAGAATGGCAGAACCGCAGGGCCCAGGACACCCCCCAGGGCCCCTTGTCCAAGGCAGGGCTGAGAAGCGGGGCGGGCTGGCGCCTGACTCTGCCTCTCCTCTCCGCAGGTCGGGCCGGTCAGCCTGCTGGCCATCGGGATCCTCACAGTGCACTGCATGGTCATCCTGCTGAACTGCGCACATCACCTCACACAGAGGTTAGAGCCCACTTCCTCCCACGCTGGGGAGGTCGAGTGACTGCTGGCCCGACTAATGGCCATGTGCCCAGCTCCTGCCCCAACCGCTGTACATCCTGAAGGGTGGAGGGGCTGGAGGGTTACCAGGGTCCCTTACAGAAGACACAGAAGCACCCCACAAACTTCGGGGTGCCTGAGAGATGCTTAGACATCCACTTTTCCTTCTAATCGCCCCACCCCTTGCCAGGGTAACTTGTTCCAGGCAAACCCCTTTTCAGACAAGTTAGTAACAGCGATAAACATAGTTAACCATGAAAGGAGTCGTTTAGAATGACTTCAGTCATTGAAAGTCCACATAACACTCAAGATTTACCCATTTAAATTTGAATGCAAAAAGCAAGATCAAAAGGGAAAGACATGGTGGACTACCACTCAGTCATGAAAAAGAATGGGGTCCTGTCATTCCGGTAACATGGATGGAGCTGGAGAGCAGAATGTGACGTGAAACGAGCCAGACGCAGACAGACAGACAGCACGCGTTCTCGCCCCTTTGGGAAACCAACCGTCAGCCATGAAGAAATACAGACCGGAACAGCGGCCCCTACGGCTGAGAAACGGGTAGAGGAGGGAGGGGCAGAAAAAGACTGAGAGGGACTCGTAGGCCCCGGGACCACCACTGGAGGGGAGGCAGGAGAATTGGGGAAAAGGAACCAAAAGGAAGTGAGGACGTGCAACCCGGGGCTGCAGGGAAACCCTGCCCTGTACACACAGCGTGTGTGGATGAGTATGATCATTTACGGAAGGAAAAGACGATTGCAACGGCCCGAAGATGCTAAAGAGACCCTCGGGCTGGGCGCTCCCAAAGCCTTCAGATCCCAGGAGGTCTCCTAAGGAGAGCAAGTTCACTCCTGTAAAGCCAGATCCTTGCAGCCCAAGCAGGCGCCTGCTGCCCCACCGAGCGATCTGTGCCCTGCAGCTCACCAACACTTGTGGGAGCCTTTGCTCACCCAACAGCTACGTTAATCCTGCGAGCTTGCTGGGCCAGGTTAGCACAGCAGAGCCTTCCAGCGAACCTCTGTGTGGGTCCTGTCTCTATCCCCATTTTACAGCTGAGTAAATTGAGATGTAAATGCTTTGCCCAGGGTCACACAGCTAAGAAGTGGCAGAACCTGTGTTTGGAGACCTGTCTGACTCCTTTCTTAGCCAGTTTGTAAATCTGCCCTTCCCTGGACCCTGCTGGGCAGACCTGACCACCTTTTCCTGAGCTTCTCTTCCTCGGCTTCTCTTCCATTTCTAATGTGGGGTTTCTAGAATGATGGCCCAAGAGCTGACTACAGCCTTCAGGTGGACGATTGGGAGTTTGTTTTGTAAGCCAATGTTTTAAAAACTTGAAGATTTCACATTAAAATTTTTCCTTTTTTAAATTGCTGTTAGCAGTGTTTGCCGTACCTAATACCCGCCTTCACGGTGGGGACTGGTACGTGTGCATGAGACGTGAACCATGACAACGACACCCTATCCTTTTTCCGGCTTTCTGTCTCCCACCCCCGTCCCATCCCCTCCCACTGGTGACTGATCCCAGGCGTTCACACACCAAATCATCACAAGCTACTGTTGACTCAAAACAAATCCAGGGCTCCACTTAGGCAGCTGTGCTTTAAAAGAATATTCAAACAAACAAAAAGAATAAAAAGCGGCCTCCAGAAAGTCAGAAGAGCTGTCCCATTACCGGGATGAACAGTGCACCCGAGGTAACACACGGGCATGCTCTGGTCACTGGCCTGGGGAACAAAACGGAAATGTTTGAGTCACACTCTCCCTGTCCTTACCTCTAGACTGCAGAAGACCTTTATGAACTACGGGGAGACCACAATGTACAGCCTGGAAAACTGCTCGAGCTCCTGGCTGAGGACCCACTCGGTGTGGGGCAGGTAGAGCCACAGACGCGGGGGGTCTGGGGACAGCAGCAGCCCTCACGGTCGCCGCGCCTGACCGTGTCTCTGTTCATCCCAGCTTTGATCCCAGGCTCTTCTCGGCAGCTGTGGGGCACTGCTGAGCCTGCCTCGGAGCCCTGCCACCCCTTCATCCAAACAATTCCTACCCGGCTTGGAAACACCCCTCCAGACCCGTGTGATCTGACCCACAGACTCATATAATTTGCATTGTGTCTCCTTGTGCTTTCTCATCAAACACCACATCTCCGTGTTTCCCACGTGGGCAGAGGCGCGCAGCCGCTCCCGAGGGCGGCCGTGGACTGTAGCTCCATCCGCTCCCCCCAACTCCCAGGAGGGAGCACGCAGGCTGTCGCTTGGCTGGCAGGCGAGAAGCAGCAAAGCCGGGAGGAAGGAAGAGCACGCTTTAAAACTCTCAGGAAAACTGCAACCTCAGAGCACAAACTTTGCCGAGGTTATACTACCTTTTTAAAAAAATTTAATCCTAAGTCCTGCTTTTTGTTTTTGTTTTCCTCCTCCTGGGCTACTCATGCTTGGATTCCTCAGAGTTTTAAAGCTACACTAGGTCTGCACGCTAAGCCCCATGCTTTCCCCAGAAAGCTTTTCTTTGCATGCTAAAGACTCAGACACCGACCGCAGACCTGCACCTCGTGCAGGAGCGACAGGCCGCTCCTCAGGTACCCCAGCTCTAAACACCACACACACAGAGCCACGTTCTGCCCTCAGCAGACGCCGGGGTACACAGCTCAGATCTGAGCACAATTAGACCGCATGTGGCCGCTGGCTCCCCGGGCCACAGTGCGCCCTGCCTCGGCTCAGCACCACACCTGCCCAGTGTGATCTCTTTAGCTCTGTCTACAACTGTTGCCAATGCATCCTGAAGTGGTTTTCTGTAATCCAAGTTAGGGACAAGGTGAGGTCGCCATCTACCCTTTGGGCAATCTCCTTAGCCCCCATCTGGTGCCCTTCCTGTGCTTGATATGCAAATGGTTTCTGCCTTGGCATCTCTGATCATCTCAGCAACCTTGTGAGGTAGACAGGGCGGGATTTTCCTTGTTGCTGTTGTTTTATTTTTGAGATGGGCGCTTGCTCAAGTAAGCCAGGCAATCCTGCTGTCTCAGCCTCCCAAGTCCTGAGACTGTAGGTGTGTACCACCACGCTTGGCCAGGTGGGATTTTATGGCCCCAGACATAACGAGGTGACCGAGGTGCATAGAGATAAAATAACATCTCAGGCAGTGACATGGGTAGCAGGGAAGCAGAGACCTGCGGAGGTCCTCACGCTGCAGCCTTCCCGGCAGAGCACTCCAGGAGACAGGAGTCACACCATCCCGTCCTGGATTCGGAGTTGTTCATCCTCTCAATCAGGAGTCTAATTATCAAACAGGCAAGGTGGTGATCAGCTTCTGATGACACCAAATAAATATTTAGGGCAGGAATGGTCTCAGAGTTTACCCTCATCCATGCTTGTTAGGATAGAAACACTCTAGTGAGTCCGGCATAGTGGCTCATACCTGTAATCTCAGCACTCGGGAGGCTGAGGCAGGAGGATCATTGCGAGTTCGAGACCAGCCTGGGCTACAAAGTGAGCTCAAGGCCAGCCTGAACTGCATAGTGAGACCCTGTCTCAAAAAGACCAAGAAAGAAAGAAAGAAAGAAAGAAAGAAAAAAGAAACACTGTAGTGTAGTCCTCTCTGGAGAGGACAGTACAGTTGTTTGGGGTCACACAGGCACAGAACCCAAAGCATGGAGCTCCCACACACAGAGCTTACCCTATGCCATTTATTTGGATATTCAGCAATTTAAAAAGAGCTGGAAGCATTTGGAGAAATAATTTTAGCTCAATCAATGATTTGTACTTTTTAGTGTACCAGGGGAGCTGTCCATCCCAGGTAGGAACGTTTCACGCACCTGCAAGCCCAGAGGAGAAAGTCAGTGGGAATATAAAGCAGGAAGGCACCGCCTCCCCCAGCCCTGGGTACTAAGGTTGGCACCGAGCACCACGTTAGGACAGGGCACAGCCAGGCACACTGTGTCTGGTCATGGGTTACAGCAGGCATATGAAACGAATTCTCCCTCTGAACTATTCCTGCTAAAAAATGAAGAAACAGCCAGTCAAGCCATTGGCTCTCACACCAGTTTACAAGAAGCACAGGGGATAGAGGACTAAGGCAGATGACGGCAGATGATTGGCACCAGCCAGTCCAGGAGACAGGACATATGACATCGGGCAGCTCAGGCGTCTGAGGTCTTATTTTTGGCAACAGCCAAAAACAAAAGGCTGCAAGAAAAAGGAAAAACCAGGGCAAGCAGAATACAGCAACTTAAAAAGCAATTTGGGGACGGAAGGCCTGGAATCGAACTCAGAACCTTCCAAAATTTGCCAGGCAGGTGCTGTGCCATTGAGCTAAATTTCCAGCCCACAACTTATAATGTTTAAGGGTTCTAAGGCAATACTATGTCTAAAGCGGGGGTGTTGCTCAGTAGTAGAGCATGTGCTTAGCATGCAAGGGGTGTTGAGTTCCATCCCAGCACCTCAAGAAGAAAATAAAACTGTAGCAACTGTTTTTAAAAACAGCCTGGAAAGCATCCTTAGAAATAACATTAATGTTTGTCTTCTCTTCTGCCTCTTTTCTTTCTCAGGTACACCGTCAGCTCCTTACTAATCATCACCCAGCTGGGTTTCTGCAGTGTTTATTTTATGTTTATGGCAGACAATTTACAACAGGTAAAAAGGCCTCTTCTCTCCAGAGAAAACCAGGCTTCCCACTGCACGAGTTCCACTAGCAAAAGTGAAACCTGGACCCCATGTGGGGAGCAGCGTCACCTCTACGCTCGGTTAGACCAGTTAGCAGTTCTGTCCGTCCTGAGACTCACGTGCTAAGGGCATGAGAGGGAAGCCCGGCCACCTTCCTGTGCAGCCTGAGAAGCACTCTGGCTGTCTCGAGATGGCGTGAGAAGGGGCTGAACTAAACATAAGGCAAATGATTGCAACCTTCCCTTCTTGCATCCCTAATACACTCTACAAACGGGTCCTGGCATTCGTTCTCAGCTTTGAGGAGAGGCGCACACTTGGTTCTGCGTGTCCACACATCCGAGAGGTCTCGGACCAGGTCTAGAGATGGGCAATTCAGGCAGGTGGATTTCCAGCTTGTAGAGCTAAGGTCGGAGAGGATACACGTAGGATGAGTCTCTTTCTCTAGTCGTAGGAAAGGAAACAGCCCTTTGGTGAGCAGCAAGAGATGGGGCTAAATGACAGAAGGGCCATTCAGACTTGAGATTTAACGATTCTAAGCATTTCCGGTTATCACACTCAGGGCACTGCAGTTACAGTGGTCAGATTTAGGAAATAAAAACACATGGCACCCAGTTAAAGTGGAATTTCAGGTAAATGGTACTATTTTTTTCACTTTGAGTGTGACGTATTCGTACTGAAATTTGTCTGCTGATTATCTGAAATTCCAATCGCACTGGGCGCCCTCTGCAGACCACCTGCTCCCCTCTGCACTGTGCTCTCTCTCAGATCGTGGAGGAAGCCCACATCATCTCCAACACCTGCCAGCCCAGGAAGATCCTGGTGCTGACCCCGATCCTGGACATCCGCGTCTACATGCTGACGATCCTGCCCTTCCTCATCATGCTGGCATTCATCCAGAACCTCAAGGTGCTGTCCATCTTCTCCACGCTGGCCAACATCACCACCCTGGGAAGCATGGCTCTGATCTTTGAGTACATTGTCCAGGTCTGTGTCCGAATCTGCAGCCTCTGAGAGCACGGGAGGGCTGCGATCATGATGGGCAGGTGAGGGAGAGGAAGGTGGCCCCTTCCTGGGCAGTCCCTGGCAAGGCGACACGTAAGAACGCTCCTTCCCCATGACCGTCAAAGCTAATCATCAGTCTCCTCCTCCTCATCATCGTTGTCGTGTTGGACAACAGTGCATCATGAACAGCTCAGAGTTTCTGTGTACCTTCTTGTGTAAGGGGTGACTGGGAATTTGGCGGTGAGTGAAAACAGCCAGCTGAAGTGTCCACTGTCACAGATGTGTTCACGGGGGGACAACACCGATTGAATAACCGCCCAAACTGTAGCAGTAGTGGGGGACAAGGGATAGAAACATGGATGATAAAAGAATTCGGTCTACTTGCAGCCAAGTGCTCTATGTACCTTATCTCACTGGGGCTTCAGGCTGCTCCTTTTTGGGGAGTACGATCCTCACCCTGTGTCCAGACAAGAAGCACAGTAAACGCCAGGCAGTTTCCCACCAATTCTGGTTGGTTTGCTTCCTGGGCCTGTGCTCCCTCCCAGGTCCTGAAATTACACCTTCCCAGTTTCATTTCTTTGGGGCTGAAAGTTTCTGCAGTGGTATTGGTTTCCTGTCGCCCGTAACAGATAGAGCGCTGCCTAGATTCTCCAACACAAACCTTGCTTGAAGTGACTTCGAGTATAGAGGACAGGAAGGGGGTGGGGAGGAGGTTGCTATTTGCAGGGAGAGGCCCCCTCGGTAAGGAGGTGGGGAGCACTCCTGCGGGGGTTTCCTCTCCTCTTTGTCCCTGAACTGCAGGATCAATTTTGATCTAAAAAACCCTGCCTGATAGCCCTGCATTTTCCCATGCTGCATAGCCGCTGGAAACGAGGGGACGCATCATTGTTCATCCGACTCTGTTCTTCACAGTTACATTGGGTGGTTGTGCTGGATTTCCAAAGAAACCCTGGCACTCGTCGCATTTTCCATAGTGGATGTTATCACGTGGCTACAGACCGCCTCCCTGTCTTCCTCTTCCTCGTCAGTCCTCAGCAAGCACCCTGTGCTGCCCACCGTGGAGTTCAGCGCGTCCCTCGGTCCTCGGCTCCCCTGGCCTCAGGAAGCCCCTCCAATGTCCTGAGGCTCGCTCCTGCCCGGGGTCACAATGTCCTCCACTCCCTGCGAGTCAGACGCTTCCCAGTCTGAAACCTGTGCTTTGTGCTGCCTCGAAATCTCCTCTGCCAGATAAACAGTCTCAGGGCACGGACAAGCGATTGCCAGCACGGAGCGGCCTCCCCTCAGCTGCCGAAGAGCCCTTATTTCCCCCCGAAACCCCTGACCAGCGCCCTCTCCGCCCAGGTTCCACAGCAGTGACACAGGGTGCCCTTTCATCACCCTCCCTGTTACACCACATCCAGAAACTCCACTCAGCACCTCGGACTCTGAGTCTCACCTGGACCAGTTCCTGGCCCCATATGAGCTCAGAACTCAAATTCGTCTCGTGACTTAAAAAAGCTTTTCGGCGCCAGGGACCAGTTTCGAGGTAGACAGTTTTCCCAGACAGAGGCAGGATGAGGGTTTGGGGATGATTCAAGCGTGTTACCTTTATTGGGCACTTTATTTCTATTATTGTTCCATTGTAACATATAATGAAATAATTATACGGTGCACCGTAATGCGCCATCAGTGGAAGGCCTGGGCTTGTTTTCCCATGTCTAGACCATCCCACTGGGACAAGGGAGACACTGACACCCAGTGTCTTACCTAGGTGGGACTACTCTGCAGTTTCATTCTGGCTGCCACATGGCAGCGTACCCCACTTCCCAAAGATCGGACTCTGGGATTAGAAGCGGGCTCTTCAGTGCTTCTGTGGCAGTCATAGGACACTCTTCTTGGACTTTAATCCAGAGCATATGGAGACTTAAAGTTGCCTCTAAAAACTTTAAGGTTACTAGCATTTGTGGTCTCAAGCAGTTGATCTTCCTCCCGCATAGACAAACTCAGTTCACCTGACATATTCACCGATGGTCATGGATCCAGCCCGTCCAGTCTGGGGCCTCACAGTGGCTGGGAATTAATGTCCAAAGGCTTCTGAAAGCTGAGCGGGTAACCTTACAGCAGCCGGAAAAAAGAGGCCCTGGCTCAGTCTCTTGAAATCCCTGCTAATGTTTGAAACTCATCAAAGAATTCCAGTGTTCACTGGTCACACTCATCATGCCAGTCTGGCTTTGAATGCCTCCACTTTATCCGCCAGCTTGAACACAGTCTCTTTCTTCCCGGAAGGAACAGGCTGAGTTTGTTGAGCAGGTTGAGTGTGTCGCATGAGTAAGCATGTTTTATGACTCGGTTCTGTGTCACTGAAATGTACTCCCAGTTGTGAGTGTTTTTGTAAAAGAAATTTCTAAAGTGGCTCTCGTAACTCAAAACTCAGGCCAGGGATCTACGATTAGAAAGTCATCTCGTTTCTGTGCAAAAAGGAACCTGTGCGGGCTGCATCCACCTGCCCACAGAGCTGCGTGAACGGATGTGAGTTAAGGGCAGGTCCTTTGTGTGCTTGAGAATCACGTCCTGCAAAACATCACTGAGTTCTGCTGACGTTTTTTTGGCTGGCCAGCGTTTCTCCACGGGGGACACGGAGGATAAACTCACATTCACTATATCTTTGACCTCATTAGTGAAACCCGAAAGCTGTGTGCTCATGGTAACCGCTCTGTCTGCACCTATTCTGACACCAAATGACCAATTCCGTTTTCCTGCTATGTAATCATTCAAGCACTTGAATGATCCTACAACTGTGGTTATTGTTTGGCAACAGAATTGCACATAACACAACCGCCCGCACATCTTCCTGAAAAATGCACCACACAAACCAGCATTGCTGCCTTGTCAACATGGATAGACTCACCCCCCCAGTGACCCATTAATCCTCTCAAGCAATTGTGCCTCAGTGTCCACTGCTGTTTCGTCGATTTTCCCAGCTACACTGCCAGCCAAAAGAGGAGCACGTGCCCCTTTTCCAACCTCAGCCTCTCCGAAATATCCATGACGAATGCTCTCAGCAGCAAGCAGGATCAGTTTCTCACCAGCAGTAAAGGGCTTCTTTGGCTTCTTGGCTTTCACAGTACGGTTCAACACTAAGCATGCTGCCCTCAGCAAGAGCACATTTAATGAAGTGCTGACCTCCCACGATGGCTTTTGGTTTTCATGTTGTGTTTTTGTTATCTTTTGAAAAGCTCCAAAGGCTTGCCTTTTAGTACAGGGTGCTTGGTCAGTCTCCACGTGGAAAAGCAGTTTAGGTCTCACGGCTTCGTCAGAGAGCGGTCACCACCACATTCTACACAGAATGCAAAGCGACTGCTGCAGAGACCCCACAGTTTAAGCAGACACTTGGTATTTTATTTAATGCAGTGTTCTTTTTGTCGGCAGTCTTAGAGTCTTCTGCTAGCTCATCTGTAGAACTCTTCCTCACCCCATTTGAAGAAGCTCTCTTGTGGGCTAAGGATACTTGTGGACTTAACTGTGATTGAGATAAGTGCATAGTGCAAGAAAGAGACTTGGGCAGATGTGGTAAATAAAATAATGGGTAAGTTGTGCACAGACTAAAGTAAGTGTGGGATTCTGAGTTAAAGCCTGCCACCAGATGCAGCTTAATTGTCACTCGCCACTCACTGATAACATTTTGATAGGAGCATGCAAGTGCTTGACATATCACAATCTCTGCACTGTCTACTAATGTCTACTAATGTTATCCTGCATTTACAGCCACTCCCCTGTGCTAGCATCACTGCCTCAGCTCCACCTCCAAGAACCAGGCTTTAGATTCTCATGAGGAGTGCACGACCGAGATCCTCCATGTGTGTGGATCACAGGAGGATTTGTGCTCCTGTGCAAATCTAATGTGAATGCTGATCTGAAAGGAAGCTCAGGCAATAATGGGAAGCAACAGTAAAGGCTATGAATACAGGTGGAACTGATGTCCGCTCACCTGCTTCTATACAGCCTGGTTTTGAGCAGATGGATTCCTGCCCCAGAGTTTGTGGTCCTTGGTTTGAAAGTTAAGAAGGCTGACCAGGTGGTAGATGTCTCTCAGATACTCCTGTGCTTGCGAGGTCAGGTCTAACCTAACTTCTGCCAGCAAAGGTTTTGGGTGACTTCCACACCACAGCAAAGCCAACGCCCTTCTCTTGTCTTTTGTCCTTTCAGGGAATTCCATATCCCATCAACCTGCCCCTGATGGCAAACTGGAAAACCTTCTTGCTGTTCTTTGGCACAACCATCTTCACCTTTGAAGGTGTTGGTATGGTAAGACTGATGAGTCTGAATGTGAATAGTTTCCACTGCACTTCGGGGTGGCCACTTTTGAATGTCAGGCGTCTGAATGAGTAGAATTTATGAAAAGTGAAGAACAGGATCATGTCCTGGAGAAGGAAAAGTTAGCTCGAGTGTGCAGAGGGCCTGCAGGTCCGTGCACCACATTAAGCCCCGAAGGCCAAGTAGGAGTTTACTAACCAGCCAAGTCCAAGTTGGAAATCCCTGAGCATGCGAGAGAAAATGAAAGCAGTGTGGACATGGAGGCCCTTCCCAAGCCTGGGCCAACCCAGAGAAAGACGCTTGTGCTTCCTGATGTTCCCCGTCTTTCCACCTTTTCTTTCCCACCCTTTCTGCCTCCAGGTTCTGCCTCTGAAAAACCAGATGAAGAATCCGCAGAAGTTCTCCTTCGTTCTGTACCTGGGGATGTCCCTCGTCATCTTCCTCTATATCTGCCTGGGGACCCTGGGCTACATGAAATTCGGGCCAGACACGCAGGCCAGCATCACGCTCAACCTGCCTAATTGCTGGTAGGTCCCTGCTGGCCTCTGGCGGGGTCAGAAGAAGCCTGAGATCTGGGCGTCACAACAGAATGGCAGGGCCTTGGGTTACCACTGACAACACGTGGGAAAGGCTCATATTAGAATTTATTAATTAGTGTTTACTAACATCATAATAGCTCAGCTTGGTGATCCAGGCAATGTGCAGACTCTTGTTTAATTTCTAATCTCATCCCTATGAGGTGGCATGATTATTATTATTATTATAATTGTCGCCAGTGCATAGATATGGAAGTTGACATTTGGAGAGATACGTAACTTTCTCAGCCACATTGTTTGTGAGAAGCTGAAACTTGAGTTCAATCTGACCTTAAAGTGTAAAGTTCCTAAAGCAGAAATGAATTGAGGAGGACAAGGAAACAGAAACAGAACACAAAAGGTATAGCTCACAATAATGACCGGAGTCCCACAGGTGGCCTGCTGTCCTGGCCCCAGCCCCAGAAGTGGACCTTCTCTTCCACAGCCCACATGGGGCCGGCTCGGGAGTTCGTTCCTTCACTCATCAGGAAGTGTGCTCGGGGCTGGCACCTCGTAAGTGTGCACTGCACAGGGGCTGTGACTCTGACAGCAGCACTGGGCAATGGGTGACTGAGTGGTCAGGAGTGCAGCTCTGAAGCTCACGGGTGGGGTTTGCATCCTGGCTCACATGAGACCTTGGGCTCCCTTACCTGTCTTCTGTAAAATGAGGGTGATACTAGTGTCTATCTGTATCAGCCAGGATAGAATAGTTATATTTTAATGTCAGCAATTAAGCTGATTTATTTACAAGAGACTTTGAAGGCATTTTTAATTACTTAAATATTCTTACTAAGCAATGCATGAACTATTTTATTCTATACAAAAGTTCTAGATCTGGGGCTGAAGATTTAGCTCAGTGGCATAAGCGCCTGCCTTGCAAGCAGGCAGTCGTGAGTTCGATCCCTGGTACTGATAAAAAGGAAAAAGACAAAAAAACAAAACAAACAAAAAAAAAAAGTTCTAGATCTGAACTTCTCTAAGTCTCTTGTATGTGTTTAAAATTCAGAATAATTCATTTTTATGTATAAAATTTTGATTTTTGAAATAAGTATGCTTTAATTTGTCAAACAAATTAGTGTTTCTGCTTTCTTATTCATCTGTCTTCATCTGTTTTATAATATATTTTACTAGGGCCTCTTTTTGAGATACGATCTTGTTATGGCCTTGAACCATATATACTGATGATATCCACGCTCCCCTCCCCACACTCTCCTTACACCCTGTTGTAGTCAGGGATTTGCAAAAAAAAAAAAAACAACTTAATACTGGACACATAATTTATAGCATTATCTTAAAATGGTCCCCAAAGAGTCAAATACAAAAGAAAGAGTGCAGGAAACTGTCCACACTGAGACCCAAAGAATCCAGCTGAGGGCCTGGATCCCATGGCAGTATCCTGCATGAGTCTAGCTGAAGACCTAGAGTCCCTGACAATGCCCCTGATGAGCCCAGCTAGAGGCCTGGAGTCCATGATGATGTCTTGTGTAAGTCTAACTCATGGATCTGTGCTGGGAAGGCCCAAGGCCAGCAAGCTGAAGGATCTGTGCCAGTAGGTTGAGGGTTCTGTACTGGAGCCGGGAAGTGAAACTCAAAGTAAGAACCAAAGCTCTGAGGGACCAAAATGGTGGAGTACTATGCAGCAGAGAAAAAAGCCTCCCAGAGAGTCACCATCCAGACACTGGAATATAGCATTGTGTGGAAGACAAGAAGAAGGGAAGTGGGTCCCCTGGACACAGTAAGAATTTGAACTGCGAACTGAAGCCCTCAGAGAGAGTGAAGAAAGAAACTCCAATGAAGGAGGTAGCTGGTAGCACTTTCTCCCTGAGACACAGGACTCACTGAACTAAAGGAGCAGTTCAGTCTCTCTGCAGAGAGACGTGGCAATGGAGGGGAGCAGCAGACATAGGACTGTGCTGGCCATTGGTCAGTGCAGAGGACTCAGTCTTCCCGCGGGAGAGAGCAATTAGCTGGAGTCACCTTGAAGACAGACCAGCTGAGCTGGGAACCCAGAACTGCTGCTGGCTCCATCTAGAAGCTCCAAGTTGGGCTCAGATCCACGGGAAATGCTCAGACAGCAGGGAGCCCAGTGAGTCTGGTTTCAAGACAAGCCTGCTGAGATTCACCACCACCTCGCCAAAAAGCTCCTGCTGGCTTGCTGGGACAGATCTGCAGGAATTGGCACACTCTGTCTACCAGTAAAACAGAACCCTGGAAGTGGGGTTTTTTTTTCTTTCTTTCTTTCTTTTCCATTTTCTTTTCCTTTTCCCTTTCTCCTCCATTGTTTGATCTTGTTCTGGGGCCAGTGTGACCGTGGTTCCTAGCCTCTCTGTGGTGTGGGTGTGGTTCTGCTCTGTTCTTCCTTTAATCTCTTCCATCTCTCTTTTCCCCTCAGTCCTCTGCACCAGTTTCCCAAAGCTTCTGTGATTCCCCTTTGTCCTCCAACTTTTTCCCCTCCTCTAAAAATTTAATTCCTTTAATTCATTTAGATTTTAACTCCTGAGGGCAAAGCTGGCTGGTACACGGGTCTCCTTTCATGCTGGCAGCCATCCCCAGGGAACCTCCACACTCAGCACCACGCTGATTCAGTTCAGCCGGTGTTACAAGCTGACCACCAGTTGCCAATCCACCGCACACCCCCTGCCTCGTTCCCTCCTCGTCTAACAGTGGGACAGAGGAAACTGCTCCAGCAATAAACGTACTCCATGGCTGTTCACACAAGTGCGTGATTCCACCTTCATCACTGTCCGTTACGGTGCAGCAGAGGAAACGCTGGTGGTGGAGCAGCCACTCTCCAAAGGGCTGCTGGCTGCATGGCAGAGGGTGCAGCAGCCGCGGAGCCTCCCCAGGCGGGGGCAGCAGCGAAACGCTGCAGGTCTTCAGTGAGCAGCTTGCGAGACTAACCTGCTCCCCGGTGGAGTGATCACGAGCACGAGTCGGTTTACTATTCCAAAGATGCTTAGGAAAGCGTAGGAACTGCCCAGCATGCAGTAAGCCTCGTGCAGACTGAGCGCCGTGGTTGTCGTGCGTCCCCACAGCCTGTCCCTTTGGGCTGAGTAGGGTAATGAAGTTTCCCAAAAGCCAGTGCAGCAAAAAGAAAATGTCACCAGCCCCACATGCCTCACAGTGCTGTGGTAATGACCAAGGGGAACAATCAGTGCGGAATCTCTTCGAAGCTGTGCCTTATTTTCCATAAGCAAGCTACCATCCCACTCACTATTCCCTGGGAAACTGGGCTCCCATGAGCCACTCTCCTTTCTTGAACTGCAGCTAGAAAACATGGACATGGAATTCCTTCTGGACTTCGCGCTTGTGAGCTGCCTTTCCATGGGAGCCTTAAGCCAATGGCCCCTCCCCAAACACCAGCGACTCAAAACACCAGCAACCCAAAAAAGATGGGTGAGGCATGTGAGCAAACAGGTCCCAGGCAAATAAAGATGACCATTTTATATTCAAAAAGAAGCTTTAGGGGCTGGGGATCTAGCTCAGCAGCATAAGCACCTAACTTGCAAGCACGCAATCGTGAGTTCAATCCCTAGTACCAAAAAAAAAAAAAAAAAAAAGAAGAAAGAAGCTTTAAAAAATAATAGAAAAACCCCTTTTAAAAAACACAGTGGGGGCTGGGGATTTAGCTTAGCAGCATAAGCACCTGCCTTACAAGCAGGCGGTTGTGAGTTCAATCCCTGGTACCGATAAAAATGAAAAAGACAAAAAAAAAAAGAAAACACAGTGCAGAGACCAGTAGGCAGTCACACACTGCTTTTGACACACAGGGACTTCCATGCTCCTGGCTATGAGCGGTAGGCCAACAGCCATCAAAACTTAAAATCACATGCAAAATTTTTACCCAGCACCCTCCTTCTGGAGTTATGTATTATACGAACACAAATATGTAAACAAAAACACTCTTTGCAGCTTTTTGAAAAAACACAGAATTGTCTAAATGTCCTTGAATCGTCACTAGTTTGAAACTTGCACTATACCCACACAGTTAGAAGGTCAAGCAGCTGTGAGACACAAGAGGCAGATCCCTGTGTCCTGACAGGGGGAAGTGCTGGCTGAAGGTGTCAGCAGTGTGCAGAGAATACAGCCACGTGTGTAAGCAGCCTGTGCACACGTGCACACATGCACTCGTGTGTTTCACACTCTGGGTAAGCTTGTGCACACGCAGGTTCTTTCCGGAAGGCCATGAAAAAGTGTAGCATGACCACCTGTAGAAAGGGAGGCGAAGGGGGGAAAGTGCTCTCAGCTGCACAACTTCTACACAGTGAGGTTCACTCCGTGCAGAGCTTTTACAATTAGAATCCCAGGCTCTCGAGACGCACGCATGACTCAGGGTTCCCAGGAAGGGGCGAAACCAGCTTCCCAGGCTCCAACAAGCAGCTTGGCCTGTGTCTTGGGACGCCAGCCAATTCTGTAACTCAAGGGCGAGCGCCAGCTCCTGGGGGAGCGCACGAGTCCTGACCGCCGCTGCTCGGAGCCGTCACATTCCGTGCCCTCTGGGTGATCTGTCTGCAGGTTGTACCAGTCAGTCAAGGTGATGTACTCCATCGGCATCTTCTTCACCTACGCCCTGCAGTTCCACGTCCCAGCCGAGATCATCATCCCATTCGCCATCTCCCAGGTGTCAGAGAGCTGGGCACTGCCGGTGGACCTGTCTGTCCGCACAGCCTTGGTCTGTCTGACATGTGAGTAGGACACGAGGCACTGCCCAGACCTGCAGCAGGGCGCCGCCCTGGTGCCCACCCGCCGCAGTCGCCGGCTCTGTCTTGCCTGTGACCTCGGGCGGGATGCTCCATCTCTCTGGAGCCCTGCGTTCCCTCCTGAAAAATGTGCGCTTTAAAAAATACTGCATAGGAAATGTTACGATCACTACTGTCGGGCTGATTTACCGAGAATGAAGACATTCATTCACCATGTAACACTCCGGCAGCCCGGTTGAAGGAGTCCTGATCTAAGGAAGCTGGGGAACGTGCTTGTGTCACAAAGAGCTGCAGGACAGAGCGCAGACACGAGCACAGGTCACGTGGCACCAACCTGCATCTGCTGGGCCACTGTTTCTACTGTAAATTACAGTCAAGTTCTCTATCGAGAAGTTGTGTTTAGTTGTAAAGGAACCCAACGCTGATTTGTTCAGTTCCGAAGGGTCGTTTTGAGGGGCATCCTCTGCCCTCTGTCCCCACCTCCTTTCCCATCACTGTCGTCCCATTCATTCCCGCCAGGCGCTGCTGTGGGTCTTTAGGAAACATTGCAATCGGAGCTGGGAATTGTTTCTCTGGGGCACAGCCAGAGGAATCCCAAAAGGAAAGGGTGGGGTGATTCCCCTAGACAGCCAAAAGCTTGGGGGGCTTCTGTATCTGCCCTGAACCCCCATGAGGTTATCGTACAAGGGAGACAGCGGTAGTCCCAAAAACTCTGGGAGTTAACACTTAAACCTGAGGCATCGAGGTACCGAGAGCTTCAGCCCAGGGTCAGGAGAAACCACCTGCTCTTGGAGCTGTCCAGCAGCACGCGGCTGCCAGAGCAGCAGCCTAAGAGAGTTCAGGCAGGAGCAGCCAATCCCTGCTTGGCTGAGATGTGAGCCCCAGTCTGCACCAAGAAGCCAGGGAGCCCGACACACATTCATTGTTCTGAGATCATTCCTCGCTGGGTTGGAGAGAAGGACTGTGTAGTTCAGGCCACTCCAGAGCAGGGCAAGTGTGGCTAGAGACAGCTGGCCCTCCAGTGACCTGTTCTGTCTCTGGTACTTACCAAGTGACCGCTTCCTCCTCCTGTCTCCATCCATGGATCCTGGTGCCTTCGCCCATTCCAGGATCCCCTGGGGGCTGTTCCTACAAGCCTAGGGCCAGGCGTAACAGTGGGTAATGGCAAAGCTGTAGCGTGACTTAGAGCTGACAGGCAAATGCTGACAAAGAAAATAAGAGCACTGTACGATGAACGTTAACGCTCCCAGCGTCACATTGAGGCTCAGGCTGTAGGCAGGGCACCCTCTGCACTAACGGGTCCCGTGGCTTGGCCTGGGCTGGCACAGGGGTCCCTGCGATGGCAGAGATGTTTCAATTAAACCTAGAAGTTAGGAAAGAGGCAGATGGCGGAGTGCAGGCAGCCTGTGCCTAGGGAGCAGGCCGTGCACAGTCCTGGAGCCCGCACTTGCCTGCGCCCCCAGGGAGCGCCCAGAACAGCAGGGAGTGGGGAGAGGGGAGCTCAGCATGGCGCAGGGCCACGTCCTGAGCCCCCGAGCCCTCCGTGGTGCTGCAGAGTCCACCAAGGAGTGGGGCTGCCCCGGCCCGCACTGAGCCCCTCAGCATCTCCTGAGGCGCCAATGCTTGGCAGCTCTGTCTGCATGTCTTCGCTGTGGGCCCAGCAGGGCACTCCCAGAGCACAGGCGCTGTCCCTCCCGGGGTCAGCAGTTTGCTAAACAGCCCATGCAGGACAGCTGTGAGCAGGTCCCTGCCCCTACTGGAGGCCCTCCAGTGTCTCTCGTGCTCCGCTGAATGACAGGCGGTGTCTCTTCAGGGACCCAGCAAGTTAGGGCCGGGTGACACAGCACCTTCCTGGGGAAATGTGGAACCCTGAGTCCGACCCACAGCACCACCAAAGAAAACCTCCAGCACTAAGTATAGATGCCTCCAAAATGACATTTTATAGGAAAACCATAGTTATATAAAATTAGGTCCTATAAATTATACATTAACCCATAGAAACATTATCAAAATCAGATTTCTTCGGGAAGGTCCGTGATGCATGTTCGGTGTATGTAGCAGAGGTGGAGAGGCAGGAGTGTGTACAGAAGGAAAGAGCCGGAGGACGAGGAGCCCAAGGCAGTCTGCACTACGGTGTCCTGCTCAGTTAGCAGAGCCTGTCACAAATGGGCAAGGAAGCGTGGACACTGGGCTAACAACAGCTCTCTCTCTCTCTCTCTCTCTCTCTCTCTCTCTCTCTCTCTCTCTCCATCCTTGCTTCTAGACAGAAGTGATATCAGCAGAGTACGAAGTTTGGCTCCAGGTCTGGGTTTACGACTCAGGCAGCTCTGTGTCCAGTGGAGGGGGTGGCCCTTAGATGTGACTTCCATGAAGTGTGATTGAAATGGATGGTGACTGCTTTGGGGTTTGGCTTTGGTTTGATTTCGAAGTACTGGGGACTGAGCTCAAGGCTTTTACACGCAGCTCCATTTTTATCTTGAGATAGGGTTTCACTACATTCATAAACTGCACAGGCTGGATTTGAACTTGGGAGCCTCCCTGAGTGCTGGGACTACGGGTGTGTGACACAACACTCATGGTGAAAGTTTAAATTTCATCTACCAAGGTATTACAGTAAAGACACTGCCGCTGAGTCCCTCAAGGGGCTCCCCTTCGCTTCCCCCACACTCAGCCCCTTGTTCCTGCCGCTCCTGAAGCAGCTCTGGAAGGCCTTGCCCGTGAGTGTCTTTAAGGTGTGACAGAGGATACAGTGAACACCGCTGCGAGGGCTGGACAGTGCAAAGCGAGAGCCAAAGCTCTCAGCAGCCCTCGTGCACCTGCTCACCAGAGCCGGCGCTGGCTGACTCCAGGCTCTTGTCACAGTTCAATGACCATGAAAGACAAATCTTTTGAATTGATTCAGGGCATCGAGGCAGCCTGAACAGCTCGACCCACTAAGAGAGGACTTCCAGAGCTGCATCAGAGAGAGGCCAGAACAGTGGGACGAGCGTCCCGAGCAGGGGGAGAGCTGTGGGGGGCCAGCGGCAGTGTGTCCCTTACTGGAATACCTTTGAAACCTTCAATATTCACGGCGTTTGTATCACACCACATAGACCATTCTTATCTCCACTGTGTGCACCCCCGAGGGTCCTGTTTCTCTAGAGCTCTGAATTTCCCCAGCCCAACTTGAGGAGCTGGCGAGGTGAGTGTGGAGGAGACCCTGTGTGCCAAGAGTCCTGCACTGAGAGCATCGGTACTGATGGGCGAACAGGAGTGGACTCAGGGTCCTGGCCTGGCTGATAGCCCTTCCGGCCCCTCCTCAGGGGCCTCTCAGGCTCCCAAGTGATTGCTGCTTTCCAGGCCCCTGGTCACAGGGCCGGTCGGTGACCCCAAGCTTTCCCTCTACCCCCAGGCGTCTCTGCCATCCTCATCCCACGCCTGGACCTGGTCATCTCCCTGGTGGGCTCCGTGAGCAGCAGCGCCCTGGCCCTCATCATCCCGCCACTGCTGGAGATCATCACCTTCTACCCAGAGGACATGAGCTGCGTGACCATCGCCAAGGACATCATGATCAGCATGCTGGGCCTCTTGGGTTGCATCCTGGGGACCTACCAAGCCCTCTATGAGTTCACCCAACCCGTCAACCGCTCCATGGCCAACTCCACAGTAATTTACGCGTGATCGTCCATGTTGGCTGTCCCTCCGCCCCGTGTTATTTCCACGTGGATGTCATATATATTTCAGCAAACCCCGGCATCTCTGTACTAATTAGCAGTCTCTGTATCTTTCCAAGATAAACGTAGATAACACAGGTAGTTCTGAGACCTCTCTGGCTTTTGGTTTTGGATTTATTTGGTGACCTTTGTACCTCTCAGTCAAAAATCACATCCTATAATTTATATGATCATTTTTTTTTTTTTGTACCAGGGATCAAAGTCACCACCTCACGGTGCCAGGCAGGTGCTTATGTCACTGAGCTAAATTCCCGGCCATCACTCTCATTTAGTGGGAAAGAGACACCATTCTTCCCCGGAAAACCACAAATAAATACTTTTTACTACAGAAGCTGCCCTATCAGATTTTTAAAAGAAGGTAGCTGGACTAGAAGAAGGGGGAAGTGGAGAGGTCACAGACAGAACAGAACTTAGCCCTTTCCCCTCCAGTCACGAGCTAAGCCACCGCCCTCTGCCCTCCCGTGAGACCCTGGGCAGGCTCCTCCCCCGCTCTCAGTCTTGGTCCCCCACTCTGTGAAATGTGGGGGTGGCCTAACTGGCTATCAGGGGCTCTTCCAATGCTGACTTTCTGAAGGTGAAAAAAAATAAATGTACACTTTATCCTCCGAACACAGGAGTGAAAATTGTTTCTCATCATTCAACTTAACCTATTGCCTTGGAGACAGGAACAGGTTAAGCAATAAAAATCTGGTTTTAGCCATGTTTCATCCTATTGTTTTCTTTCAGCAAAAATTTACATTCCTCTTCACACCTCACAAAGACTTCCCCACCTGGGAAGAGGTCACCTTTTGTTCTTTTTCTTTTTCACGTTTTTCTTCCTGATATTCTAAACCCAGTTAGCGCTTAGGCTGTGGCGGGTGAACTGGATCCACTGCAAGGGTGTGGATCCACGGTATGTGGTGGAGGGGAGCTGGGAAAAGACGAGCTTACACGCTGTAAGCCACAGCGTGCATTATTGTGGGGTTTGTTCTGAGGACAATTTCCTAATATGGAAGTCAAAATGTATAGCACTATGACTCACCAGTTTACGTCTGGAAATTTACCCTGAAAGTCTTTTGTGTTTGCAAAGTTGTATGCAAAGGGGGAGTTTGTGTCGAGTGAAATAGAAAAATTTAGAAACATGCATCGCACATGTAGTTTAAAAAATGATTAAAAATAATAAGATTAATTATGATTAATCCAGAAAATACTATCATCCTCCAAAATATTGCAAAAAATATCAACTGACACATAAGTATGTACTGTTGGTGATTTATTAGTGAACAAAGCCAGTTACAGACCTGTGAACCAAAACACTAAGAAAATAAAGCTAAAGACCAAGGTCCCAAAGGGCACATCAGCGAGCAAACCCAGTCTGGGAACCATTGCCAAGCATGGACCACCACCGGACCGGAACAGCCGGACCCCAGCCCCTTCCCGGGTGTGGGCTGGCAAACACGAAGTAGCATTTGTGCCCCCTCCCAGTAAGCGAGCAGCTTATCTGGAGAGACACAGGCTGTGATGACAGCTACAGAGGTGAAGGGCAGTGGGATGCCTGTGGTGCTGAGGTGTGTCACTGACACTGCAGGTCTGGGGCCAGTGTCTGACCGTGGGTTCAGAGGATAGCAGTGCACAGCGTGGCTTCTGGGGGGATCTCCTTCTGGGGGCGGTAGCCATTGCTGATTCCCTATGGGCTTGTTCTGAGGTCCTACCTCATTTCCATTGTTTTGTTAGGTTAAGTTTTATTCCCTTTTGTCTTTTTATTTGCTTCTGTCAAATCCAATGGCAGGAGCAGCTATTTCAATGATAGCAAGATATATCATAGCAGCAATTTTGGATTTACTATTGGTTTGTTTTGGGGTCCTTTATTGCATTCATTGTTTTGTTTTTATTGTTACTATTCTATTCTGATTTTTACTATGTCTGAAGTTACCTGCAGCTGTTTTGAAGACATCAAAAGGCATTATGGTAACTACTGTTGATTTCATAATATTTTTAGGCCTATATCTTTTGTTTTGTTTTGTTTTGTTTTGTTTTGTTTTGTTTTGTAGTACCGGGGATCAAACTCAGGACCTCACACTTGCCAGGCAGGCGCTTATGCCACTGAGCTAAATCCCCAGCCCAGGCCTATATCTCTTACACTGGTTTATTTTGATTAGTTTTATTCTGTTTCACGCTCTATAAAATAAAAAAAGTTTTTTTAAAAGACCAAAGTCCTGTGTGAACACAGATATTCAAGTTTTTATAAAAGCCTGCGCCTGACCCTGCAGCTCTCTTTGGCTCCCCGTTTTAGATGCGATTCCTTCCTCCAAGGCGAACGCTCGTTGTTATTACCGTCAGCTGCCGGCGGCGTAGCCGAGAGGGAGCTTTTACCAGAACATACACCACCTCATTTGGACTTTGAGCATCCCCAACTTTGAGCTAAATAATCTGTTGTTCTTTAGAAAGTGAGCTTGCATTTTGTATGTTTGTCACAGCAATGAAATACTGAACGCTTTCTCAGTAAGATCAGAAGCAACTCGGGGAGACGGGCACTCTCGTCACTTCTGTGGTCGACGTTCTGGAAGTGAAATTAGACTAGAAACAGGAAGTCACAGGCGCGCAGACTGGAAAGAAGAAGAGAAACTATTTAAAAGACACGATCAGTAATGCAGAAAGTGTTTCAGAATCCACACAGACGCTGCTGCTCATTGAGTTTACGAAATTTCATGACACATATCAAAATCCAATACAGAATGTCTAACTGAATCTCTACATACCAGTTGAAAATGATTAGAAATTGAAATACTTAAATACCATTGACAACAGCCTCAAAAATATACCTTAATTAGAGCGAATCTGGTGACAGATTGAAAGCCGACACAGGTGCCTTGTGGGGATGCTGCAGGTTTGGTTCCAGGTCACTGCAACGAAGTAATTCTTTCCATTTTCTAGTGCACGGAAGAGTTACTACATTCTATGGTAGTTTATTACCAGATGCTCAAATCACTGGTGAGCGTCCAAGCCCCCAGCAAGTCCCCGTCCTCCTGGCCAAAGAGGGCTCTCCTGGATGCTGACGGCTGTCAGTTACTTCTCGGGGTGGCGGGCTGAAGGTGGGGTGACCTGGCATCGCCTTAAGGAAGACAAATGTAAGTTTGCTGCATCAGCTGATTCTTTCACAGAAGAGCGATCCGTAGCACGCAGTGCTGTCTGACAGCGTTTTCCCACAGTGGGATTTCCCTCGAGATCGGAACTGATCCCATTAAGAAAACTTGACACTGCTTTGTCAACTAAATCTATATATCTTTTATTATCATTTCAGCAAGGTTCACGGCCTCCTCACCTGGAGTAGTCTCCAACTCCAGAAATCACTTCCTTAATCACCCATAAGAAAAACTCACCATCTTTTGGACTTTTGTCACGCAGTTGCAGTGAATGGTCACACCCTCGAGCTCCCCCTCCAGTTCTCATGTCCACCTCATCTACAGTTACTTCCTGCCCTGCGGCCATCCTTGCGTGCTGTACTCAAGATCCTGTTAGTGTGGATGGCTCCTAGGAAAATAGCTTCCCTTAAACTCCTTCCCTGCAACAGGTATCTCGTCATGCTGGCCGGCTGCTTTGCAAGGAAGAGATCTGTGGGAACTTTGCTCAGCATAGTTTGGTGGCAGCAGCATTTCCCGACGGAAGTCCCATTGTGGTCACGTGGTATCACCCCTTGGTGATCTGAGCTATCAGGTATTTTATTTTAAAAATTAAAAATTAAGATGTGCATATCGGGTTGTAGACACAATGCTATTACACACTTAATAAACTGCCGTTTGTTGTACAAATTATGCTGGTGAGCGGATGATTACTGCTACAAACCACAGCAAAGGGTGGACCTTGGACCTTGCACGGTGCAGAGGGGTCTCTACCAGCAAGAGAAGGCGTGGAGGCTCAGCGATACTCAGGCATCTTGCTTTGGCCACCAGTCCTGAACTGGGACACCTGACATTTCTTGGGTCTGGGGAATCTTTCATCCTCCAAGAACTGGTGTGGAAGAAGTTGTTACACTCATTGCCCCAGGCATATCTACAAAAATGACCACTGAATCCTGAGAGTAGTAGTGCACGCCCGTAATCCCAACATTCAGGAGGGTGAGGCAGAAGGGTTGTTGCAAGTTCAAGGCCAGGCCGACTACATAGCAAAAGCCCATGATCACCTGAGACTCACTGAAACCTCCCAGCCAGTCTCAGGAGAAAAAATAGATGTCATGAACATCCAGCAGCTTTCAGGGTACTAAGTGTTGTGGTATTTTACAGAGCTAGCTTAAGACACGAAATGAAAATTAAATTTGTACAGAAGAACAAGCTGTAGCCATGACAGGAGTGGATATAAATGATGCAGCTGCTGATTGTGGCCAGATACTGCAGTCACCATGGGCCAGACTGGCCCAGAGTTTGCAAAGAGGTAGCAGGCGTGGCCCTGGTAGACATGAACCTCCAAGCCATCCTGTCTGCAGCCGAAGAGGGTTAGAGGAGGTCCTGGTTACTTTTCTCTCATTGCTGGGACAAAATATCTGACACCCAAAATGAGGGAAGGAAAGGTTTATTTAAATCACAGTATGTGAAGGTTTCAGTCCATAATCAGCTGGCTCCAAGGCAGGGTGGCTCTGCACAGGGGCAACACTTCAAGACAGCAGAAGACAGCAAAAGCAGCCAGAGCAAAGGAGTGGCGGGGAATAAGCCTCTTCTCCTCCCTTCTATTTTGAGCAGATTGCCCCCTACCAGCATCTCAGGTTGGATGTAGCACTCACACATCTGGCTGCCCTCCTCTTGCACAGGATAAGGAAGTTTACAAAATGAGGCCCCTGGCTGCCCGCTGAGTTGGCTTAATTAAACTTCTAAACTTCTGGAGATAACACAATGACCATTCTAGAGCCAGGAAGGCTTGTCCTCCACCCCCAGGATGCAGAGCTGCTGAGTTACTTCACTAAGTTTCTAGACTTATTGAGTTGACACAATGTATCAACCATAACAGGGGATTTATAACATTAAACAGCTCCTTAGATTTCAGCTGAGCAGAAGTACAGAGGCACTGTCTTTAATATCACTGGTTACATTAGTGAACTTTCCTGATCCGTGTAAAGCAGATTTTATGGATCAATATTTTTATGGATCCACTGGCAACACAGCCTCAGAGTGGAGCCAGGGAGTAAAGATGTCGTTTATAAACCTACTTGCAACTGGAGGGATGGCATTTTGACTAAAAATTTAATATTTAAAACACATGTGTCATCCATAATCCTCGTTGTGAGCAAGAGCTGCTTCGGGTGTGACTGTAGTATCACCTTGAGATGCTACAATAACCTTCACAGGCTTTATGTTTGTATTTTTTAAGGTTTAATTTTTTATTTTATTAGCACATGTTTGCAGAACTGTTTTGAGAAGCAGGTACATGCACATACCACGGCTTGCTTCTTTTTTTAAAATCCCCTTCCCTTCTCCTCCTCCTTCTTCCTTGTTATGGTTTGTGTCTAGATGTCCCCCCAAAGCCTCAGGTGGTCACAAGGGGCAGGCTTTTCGGGGGCAGCGGAATCCAAAGCTTGTGACTGACTTGTGGTCCAGTGCTGGGTTTATGGGTGTGA